AAGCTTGAGCATGAAACTTAATGGTTCGTCCTAGGGTGGATTTGAGTGAGACGATGAAGTATTTGTCATAGTAATTATCTTCCTCAACCAGAACACTGCAATTATAACTCTAAAATTGTTTAATATGCATGAGACAATACATTCTATGGAGTCATCAGCAATACTATGTTAAACATTGTACTGCATCCTATGAAGTATGAACCCTATTTCATGATCATACGATATGTATATCTTACACGAAATCATGAACAACATAGTAATTTCCCTACAAGCATAAGAAAACCGTTAGCCCTTGTTGGTGCAAGTAAGGTCGCTATAAATCTAACAGCAAAAATAAAATAAAAACATAATGACGGGAGCTACGGACAATACACATGTGTATTAAGTGTTTGAAATTATGGGAATCAGAACATTTATGCTCAGAAACATGCATTGTAGAGGTGTTTTTGTTGTGTTCAGTGGCGGAGCCACTTGGAGAAGAGGGTTGCTTTGCACCCCTCTTGGCTTTGGAGAAAATTTTTTCGAGTAGGGGTATATACAAATTCCAACCAATGACCATTCAGTTGCAGGAAGAATTTCTTATCATTTCGATCGAGTGAGTTTTGTTATGTAATGCACTTTCGTCTTTATTTATAGTAATAAATTGTTGTCTTTTGTTTAAACTCACTCTTTTTTTTTTTTTTTTGTAGCTCTACAACAGAGAAATTTCTTGTCTTTTGTTTAAACAAAGTTGAAAGTGAAGAAGTACCAATTGAAGTTCACTTGTTTGTTTCACAAAATCAATTCCAAGGTACTTCTGAGTTCTAATTTGTAATATTTGATGAATGGAAGTCTTGATTTGTATGTACTGAACTTATTTGTTTGACGTTGTAACCGGTGTACGTGAAACTATTTTGATGTAATTGTGTGAATTTAGAGTATTGCGTTGTTGACTTTTTGTTTAATTTAAAGTTGACTTTTCTATTGTATAGGTGATTTTTTATGATATGATAAAGACACCCCCTTGGCCAATTTCCTGGCTCCGCCACTGGTTGTGTTGTATGTGCAAACTTAAAATGAAGAATGCACCACAAGACGGGTGCATGAGAATTAGTGAAGCACCACTAGTCACTCGGTAAAATGAAGAATGCATAGTAATACTACTAACTTAGGCTGTGATCCCAGTTCCCTATTGACACAAAATTAACCGGCCATTCGAAAACACTAACCCGCATTGCTTAGGAAAATATGGAAGTCTCAATTGCAATAATGCAATCTTTCATTTTATGCAATCTCATATGTAATTGCCATTTAAACATTCATTTTTTCATTGGGTGTGTATTTTTATTAAGAAAATAAGTTAGGCCCACATATGCAATTGCAAGTTAATTGCATTGATGTAGGTTACGCGGAATTCAAATGGTCTTCTTTTAAGCCAGTGCAAGTATATCTCCGACTTACTCTCTAATCAGCAGTTTCACGACTGCAAGCCTGTATCTACACCGATGGAACCGAATCTTCGCCTCAGCCGTACCTGGTGATCTCCTTCAGGATGCCACTGGTTTCAGAGCATTGTTGGGAGTCTGATCTATCTTGCTACTACTCATCCAGACATCTTCTACGCTATTAGGTAGTGAGTCAATTCATGGCCGCTCCTCATACCGATCATTTGGCAGCGGTGCATCGTCTTTTGTGCTATCTTCAGGGTACTCGGGATGTTGGTAGGTTCTTTCCTTCTTCAGGGTCTCTTGCCTGACGTGCCTACTCTAACTCGAATTTTGCTGGCTGTGTTGATACTCGTCATTCTACTACTGGTTGGGTTGTTTAGTTTGGCTCGACTCTTATCTCCAAACGTTGTAAGAAGCAAGATAAGGTATTTGAATCTTCTACCGAGGGTGAATACGTGCTATGTTCGATGTTGCTTCTGAACTAGTCTGGCTGTGTTGTCTGCTCCGTGATCTGAGCGTCTCTTGCCCTCTTCCTATGGATCTATATGTGGATAATAAGAGTGTTATCCACATTGCAGTCAATCCAGTCCTTCATGATCGTAAAAAGCACATAAAGATCCACTTCCATTATATCTGGGATCTTTTTCAAGACGGTACTATTACAAATGGCCACGACAGGCAGAGCGCCGTCCATCCCGCGAATCTGTGAACTATCTCCGAGAAATTGTGGTGGAGATGGCGGACGAGTGGGAAAGCTGCTAAGCACGACAACCAGAGAAGCGAAAGAATGACAAACGTCATTGCTGTGATCCAGACGATGTGTCGCCTCTGTTCTTCAGACTGAGAAGCAGAGCATAGACGAGCCAGCAAACAGTGGAAATCCCGCAGCTGCTATGTATTCCGCCCAAGCTCTAAGAAAAGACGTTGTAATGGTCTTAATCGGTATTGGGATAAATGTTCTTCCCAGGGTTTTGACGGCCTGCCATAATATGATGATTGGGAGGAAGGCTTCACTGCGACAGAGAGTGAGCGCGAAGGTGTTGGCTATGGAAAAATGTTAGTAAATGGTATATGATCCAGAGTTGAACCTCTTCCAACAACTCGAGTTATTGGGATCAACTGGTTCATGACATGGTCTCATGTTCGAATCCCGATAACCGCCATCTGTTCTGTTAAGCACATGGTGTCCGTACCTATGCATGTCCAAACTCCAATCCTATATGAGTGGCTTGATTTTGAGGGGGGTAGTAAATGGTATATGATCCAGAACTGAACCTCTCCCAACAACTCGAGTTATTGGGATCAACTGGTTCTTAACAAAAACAAACTCTCTGTTTCTAGCATAAGGCAACTTCCTTGTTTCTAGCGTGATAATTATTGCAATTATAATTAATTTTCTGTTTATTTTTTTAATTTATTGATTATAATGAGGTGAAATTTTAAAAGATTAAAATTTATTTCATTTTTTATTGTCACGTCACTTATTTAACAGTTAACTCTCAGAGTTGACTGTCACCTCAGCTAAACTTAACTACGAATAACGGAGAGTGACCAAACTTGAACTGCTAACTAATTTAAGTGACTACGAATGAAATAAATTAATTTTAGTGACAACGTGAATTTTTAAGTAATTCTAGTGACCAAATTTACAATTTACCCATACATGATCAATACTTAGAGAATACAGAGAAATTATATTTGCAATTTACCCATACATGATCAATATTTTTAAAAGTTGAATAGCATGTAACAAAATAAATTATTGGTCGAAAGTTGATGCATAATAAGTTATACTTCAGTCAAAATGGCATTTTATATCTGAATTGCTATTCGTCGCCCTAAAATTCAAATAAAATCGCCCTAAAATGGAATAAATTGACAAATTTACCCTTCAACTCAATTTCAATTCTAACCCTAACCAAACAATCCCTTCCTCGCCCCAACCCATATCCGCCGCTCTCACAGTCTCACTCATGAAAAGAACCGTCGCCTCATTAGTCATCACCTCCCCTCCCATGCTCCTGCCCCAACCAGAATATGCTGCAGGCGCCAGATGGAAGGAGGAAGAAGAAGCAAGTTAACGATTGCAGAAAGCAAGTTAATAAGGATGATGAATAGATATCTAGGGTTTATCCAATTATTCTCTTTTATTATATACATTTTGCACTAGTTAAGATGTGAAAATCAAATGGGTTAGACAAAGTTCAGAACCTAAGGACAAGCATGCTAAGAACAATAGTCCTCCTATTCCTGAAAAAGTGAACTCCTGTTGGCGCTGACAATATCAGCTTTTGGGTTTGGCGAGCTATGTTTGCAACAAGGGCATTAAAGTAAATGTGATTTAGTTAGGGCGACAAATAGCAATGCCCTTTTATATACTCATGTAATTGCGGTATATCGTACCCATGCCTTAATTTATAAAAGTAAAGCTCTTTAGCAAAGCGAAGACGACTAAGCTAATATAAGAATCAATCACATACGAGCCCATAATTTGCATTTTTCAAGATTTCTATGATTTGTCAAGAAGTTTAAGATACTATGAATGATGAAGACTTGAAGAGTGGCGTGGATATGATTTTATAAAGAGTGATATACGGGTATTATTACAATTATTGAAAGAGCATGTTGTGTGAGCGGTGATTCAAACCCAGATAATAAATAATTTACTAAATTTAGCACAACATTTATAACATTCACGATAAAAATCTTCAATAACTTTAAACAACCATAACTTTGTGCTACAAAATTCAAACGTCATGAATTTTTTTTTTTCATTTCGCATAAATTTTTATGGACTACAATTTTTACTAGGAATGAATTATCAAAACATGAATTATTTTTGGAAATACAAGGTTTTGGGAATAGCTTACCTTCCCTATTCACAATTCCACGTATATTTCAAAATTATGTCTATGATAAAAGTTGTAGTCCTTAAAAAGTTATGTGAAATGAAAAAATTTCATGACGTTCGGGTTTTGGAGCACAAAGTTATGACTTTCCAAAGTTTGACGAAATTGGAAAAAAGCTCGTTCGGGGTAGCAAACGACATTTTTTGGGGACTAAGGCGGAACCAAATCACCTACGGTTGTTTGCGGCTTGCAAGATCTCGAAAAGTTATGCGGAATCAAAAAAAAATTCGCTACGATCGGATACCCGGGCACAAAGATACGTTCGTTTGAAGTTTCCACCTAGGTTAGGAATACTCTGAAAAAGAAGGGACCAAAACCGCAGGGTGGGGCATCGGTTTTGGACGAAATCGGTCCGATCCTAGGCGGTCAAGAAAACCGCCCCCTAACCTTGCGGTTTTTATTGAAAACCGCGCTCCCATCCTTCAGTTTTTGTGTAAACCGCTGGTTCGGGAGGTGGTTTTTGGGAAAGGGTGCTATTTTTGGAATTTTTCGGGGTTGGGTGCTATTTTTGTAAAAAAAAAAATAAACAGTGCTATTTCTAGAAAAATTCCAAATCTCTTTATGGTACAAACTAAAGCTGTACCTTTATCTTATGATACAATTTTATGTGGGTTAATTGCAAGGATGGTCACTGGGTTTACTAAAACCGTTCATGTTTGGTCACTGCAAATATTTAATTTCATTCATGGTCACTAAGATTAGTTCAATAGTTCAAGTTTGGTCACTCTCCGTTAGTCTGCGTTAGTTTTTGCTGATGTGGCAGTCAACTATTATAGTTGGCCGTTAAATGAGTGACGTGGCCAATAAAAAAATAATAAAATTTAAATATTTACAATTTCCACCTCATTTTACAACTATTAAAAAATAAAAATAAAACTTACTTCCGCCGTCGCCACCACGGATCTCCGATTCAGTCTCCTCTCCTCCAACTCATTGTACATAGAGCGTGTGTTCCCCTTCAAGTGATGCAGGCAACAAGCGTGGAATGAAATTCATGTCATTCCACTTGCCATTTCTTTTCTCTCATTCCAAAGAGAACAATGGAAAATTTTACACCTTTTTTTCCCAGCAAGTATCATAGACAATCTCTGAGAAGGTTCCATGCTTAAGAGAGTTACGGCTTCTGGATGGTTGAGGAAGAGGGACGATGCAGAAGTCTATGACTATATAAAAAGTAGAAAGAAAATGAATGTTAACCATAAACAATGCAGAGAAACTTAGAAACAGTCTCCTGAAAGTTGCAAGGGAGTACAGAGGAAACGAGTTGTTTACTAACCAAGCTGGAGAGGGGACAAGGTCGGCGGAGTTATCTTCTCATCCCCATACAAGATTTGGCAGGCAAACTTGTACCTGCACAAGACCATTATTAAACCGGGTTGGGAAAAAAAAGTCAAACCATTAGCACGACATGAACCTTTCGTCATGCCATCGAACATTGTAATGTAAAGTAGTTTCTCAGCCAGATGCTACGTTAGCTGTTATTGCATCCAAAGTTGCATAAACAACACTAGCATCTAGGTGGCTAACTTCTGGTTTCCACAGAGAATACACGATGACTATTGTTCATCTCACATTGCAAAGCTGGTGGGTTGCCCTGAAATATAATCTGCACAATCGGACAAAGTTTTTGTTTTGTTTCTGCTTTAAAGTAATGGCACCCAGTTCTACTTTAATCTTTAGGTTATGTGTGAGTGGATCAAACGACGGCAGCATAGAGCTAGAGTGCTAAAGGCTGATGCTTCGTCACTCGCAACTATCACGGGAAGAAACCCAAATCCAGGCCATGGAAACTGCGGCGGAGAAGGACCATCTACTGTGTCAAAGTCAGTCAAGCTTTCAATCTCGAGAATCCCATCAGTCCGGATCGAGTAACCTTGAATCTACTGCTTTGATCAGAGCCGTATGGCAGGAATCCAAGAACTTGTGGCTCATTGTCGGGCCCTCGATCTTCAGCCGGGTCGCCATGTTTTCATTGACAGTCGTCACCCAATCATAGTTTTATTTTTATTTTTAATAGTTGTAAAATGAGGTGGAAATTGTAAATATTTAAATTTTTTATTTTTTTATTGGCCACGTCACTCATTTAACGGTCAACTATAATAGTTGACTGCCACATCAGCAAAAACTAACGGAGACTAACGGAGAATGACCAAACTTGACGAGAAAATCTTCAGTGCTCCCGTCCCACCACGTCATTTTGCTGTGTTGGTGCTCCGGCCCAATTGCAATGTGACACCTGCCTTGAATTTATTTATTTAAATAAATGATATTTCCCTTTGTTTTCTCTTTTCACTTCCCTTCCCTGCACCTTCTTCTCCATCGTTCTCTCTCTCACGGCCGGTTCCATCTCTCTTTTTTCAATCTGAATCTTCTATTTCTAGAATCACCAGTCAACTATTTGGTTACACTCAATCATTTACTTGGTTAATCACATCAACATACTGATCTTGAAGGGATTCTTTTGAACTTCTTTTCCATCCAATCCATTCTCTTTGGTGAATTCTTTTACTCTCCAAAAAACACCATCATTTGGTCGATATATAAGAATCAAATGTTAGAGAGTGGTATAAGATCCAGCATAACCTTCTCTCAACAACTCGAGTTATTGGGAGCAACTGGTTCATGACATGGTATCAGAGCTACCGTTCTGATCTCCTTAACCCTAAAATCAAATTCATCTCGCCTCTCTCCCTCACGTCTTCTCTCTACTGCAACCAGCCTCTCTTTCTCTTCACCACCATGTCCGGCGAATTTGTGATCAACATCGACGATGCCAATACCGTCATAACTTTGAATCCCGCGTCGCAACTCCCCACAAAGCTCGATGGCGACAACTTTTTCACCTGGCGTGCTCAGCTCTTCACGCTTCTCCGCGGCCTCGACCTCCTCAAATTCCTCGATGGCAGTCATCCTCAACCTGCTGCCGATGCTCCCGCTGCTCGCCGACGCTGGTATCAACAGGACCAGCTTATACTCCATTCAATTCTTGCCTCCATGGCTCCTGGCGTCTCTCCCTACGTCTCAGCTGCCACTTCTTCTCAACAGGCCTGGAACATACTGGAACGTATGTTCGCTAACCAATCACGCCAACGAGTCATGCATCTCAAGGAGAAACTCGGCCGTGAATGTCAGGGCAACCGTTCTGTCTCCGTCTATCTCCATGCACAGTCCTTATCATCAAAAAGGCCAAATGGCCACAAGAACGGCAGCTTCTTCTGCCTTTACGCAAAATTTCCTGTCTCCAGATTTATCAGTAAAATCTGCAAATAACTGGATCTATTTTTATATGTTGGGGTTCAATGAGGAAATAAAAAATGGAAGATTGAAACAAAATATGGATGGGAAAGATATCACCAACGAATCTGTAATCAATTGGTTGTTTTAGATTTGGAGGAGTAGAGTAAGAGAGAGAGAGGATAGGAGGAGGAAGGTAGAGAAGGAAGAAGAAAAGGAAATGAACCAGAAAAGGGGAACGAAGATATAGTAGAAGAAAAAGGCAACTAAATAAAATACTTCATCTGGTAGGTGTCACATAGCAATTGGGTCGGAGCACCAACACAGCCAAGTGACGTGGTGGGACGGGAGCACTAAAGATTTTCTCCAAACTTGACCTATTGAACTAATCTTAGTGACCATGAATAGAATTAAATATTTGCAGTGACCAAACATGAACGGTTTTACTAAACCTAGTGACCATCCTTGCAATTAACCCAATTTTATGTTGTACCATAATATAAATGTACAAATTCTCCTATAGTACAATGTCAATTCATACATTTAACGTTATAATGCAACTTAAAATTGTACTTTAAAGCACCAATATTTTTAAGCATATTAGAAGTGATAATGCTTAATATATCATTCAAAGGAACATAAGTTATTATGTATGGGTCAATATAAAACTTAAACCTATAGATTTTACCAATTATAAAAATAAAGGTTCCCTGAAGGGCAGGGTCTCAGCTAGTGTTGTTTAAAGGGTTTCTCCATTTCTTTTGTTAAGTTCAAGTGTTCTTTTTTAGTTTTTCTATAGTTCTTTATTTTATAACCAGATCAATTTTTTTTAAAGAGTTAATAAAGCAACCAATTTTGTGGCCAAAATGTTCTCTAATCGAAAGTTTGACGATTAGTCGACTTTCGCCCATAGATTTGTTATGTTCTTTGACTATATATCCGGGCTTTCGTCCGGTTTTGACTATGTTAAAAGAAAAATTAAAGAGTTCCTCAAATGCTCAAATTAATTTCAAATCTTCAATTTCAATGTGGCCGACTAAGTAACCATCTAAATTTTATAGTATATTAATTTTTTGGCTGATACCACGGTAAACTCGAATTATAAAAAAAGTGTCCTTTGTGTTCTGAACTATTCAATATTTCATTTATGTCACAACGTATGATAGTTGTGTGTCATTTATGTCCTGACGATTTTGTTATCCGTTATAGACCAGACGGCGGTCAAATTGATGTTGACTGAGGAGCGGAATCGACGGAGCGATTAAGACGATTTGCGAATTTTTGTAACTTTTTATATTTAACTTTTCTTATTTTAATCATTTTAGATGAAAATATAAATTAATATTTAAAATTTCATATTAGATGCCACGTCGACACTGACTGAATTTTCTGTTAACTATTGACGGTCAAACTCGGTAACACTAAAAGAAAAATAGTTTAGGACATAAATGTCATATTAAATAGTTCGGAACACAAGTGAGACTTTTTTATAGTTCGTGATGTGTCCAAAGTAGGGACTCGAATCAAAATCACGCAGGCTAAGTATGATTCTTAGTGTTTATGGTGGTTTCGTAGTAAAACAAAGGTGGTGGATTGATGAAGGAAGTAAACCAACACCAAGACCAAAATCAAACTCTCAAGCTTGATGAACACTCAGAGTAGGATTTCTATTCAATCAATCAAAACGTGCATTACAACTAAGGAGAAAGGCTATTTATAGCCAAGATTAAACCTAATACCATCCTAATTGAACAATGAAACGAATTGAAACTAAACAAGGAAAGGAATTTGTGTAAAACAAGTAAACTTGTAAGCCAAGCAACAATCTTCTCTTCCAAGTAAACTGTCTAGGAAACAGTCCTTCGTACCAACTTCAAGCTCCTGAAAAATGGACTTCTGGATCGAGTCATGCTGAACCAATGCCTTCACGATGTTTAGGAAGTTACACACTTTCATATCCAACTCGCAGCTTCCTTTGATTGCATCCCAAGATCCTCGAATAAGATCCCAAAGTTGCTACCTAGAACAGCTTTTCTGCCTTAGCCAAAATTAGGCAGTTTTCAGGTTTCGGTATACATATTTCATCGACTTGGACAAGGGCCTTCCTGGCTTCTCCTCGATCGACCAAGCATTCCAACTTGTAGACACTCCAGCTTCAAAACAAGTGCTTAATTTTGAATTTTCACTGAGCCAATTGAGAAAACTAGACGTTCAAAGTATGGTACCTGAAATAGTCAAAATACTTGGCCAAAAATTAGGGTTCTACTTCTTCTTATGTGTTGCGATTGAATCTTCGGCAAGCAATTCTGACTTGTGTAGTGAGCAATCTGTGATTATATCAGTTCGGGTTTACCAGTGGTATTAGCCCTAATTTTTTAAGTTCTTTATATTGTGTATATTTTGTTTTGCAGAAAGGCTTGGCAAGCTTTTTCTCTGTCTCAAAAGCATGTCACAGCTCTTTGTTTAGAGCTAAAACCATGTCTCTTGTTCAAGTATGTTTTCAGCTTTTGATCCCGCCAAACCTTTGATGCGCAGAACTTGCCTCTTAATCAGATCGGATCCTTTTTCACAGGAGCCTAAAAGATACAGAAGCCACTCTCAGTCAACTCTCACTTACCATATGATGCCTCCAATAACATTTAAAAAAGGAGCAGGGTTGAGGACCCCCTTGGGGAACACAAATTGCAGAATTCAATTCATCACCAAATAATAGGTGCATCTGAAAGTTGTTCACTTTTAACTGATTATGCAATGCAACTTAGGGTGAAGATACCAGCAATGTATTATTTATTACTAGGACAGGAACAGTGTTCTTTCAGAACATATACGAATGAGTTTCAGACTACACAAGAAAACGAAAAGATATGTAGCAATGAAAATTCCAGACTACGGAAGACCTGGTTTTCTATTCTTTACTCTGTACACCAACAAAAACAGCAGCTGGATTTCCCTAATTCTAAAAGCATCTCTACGAGTTTTACAAAAGAGAGTCAACTACAGAACTTCAAAGTATTGCAGCCTGTGATCGTCCAATGTGAACGAGTTTCAGACTACACAAGAAACCATGAGATCTGTAACAATGAAAATTCCAGACTACACAAGCACTGGTTTTATATTCCTTACTCCGTACACCTAGAAAAACAGCAGCTGAATCTCCCTAATCCTCAAGCATCTCTTTGAGTTCATTGATGAGATCCCAATCATCCCCAGTCAGCTCTGCTGTGGCGCCCTTCCTTACAGACTCTGGCATAGTAGCAGATATCAGATTTAACCATTTGTCTCTGATATCCTGCTCAGTTCGATCAATGTCTTCACTGAACATATTATCCTTTATAAGCTTCCACTTATTCCACCTCTGTCCGAATTGAGCAACTCCTTTGATTACCTTCCTGGTGTCATCAAGGCTCCAGGGAAGCCTTGCCCGCCGGGGTTTTCCCACCTGCTTTCCAACCGGATTGACAGCAAGGGGTCCAGGTCGCTTTGAAGCCTTACGAACTGGGAATTGCTGCACTGGATTCTTAGCAAGGGCTCTGATTGGTGGGGGTCGACAAGCAGCAGCAGGCATGAGACCATAGATGGGAAGGGTTGAGGATGGTCCTGGAACACAGACTGGTAGACTATGAGGAGACTCAGGCTGAATGCTGACGAATTGTTGCACTGGATTAAGAGCAAGGGCTCTGATTGGTGGGGGTCGACAAGCAGCAGCAGGCATGAGAGGATCATAGATGGGAAAAGTTGAGGATGGTCCTGGAACACAGACTGGTAGACTATGAGGAGACTCGGGCTGAATGCGGCCAGCAGGTAGCTTCGGCATGAGGGAGGGAATGTAGTCATCCATAGCAGCCCGATGCACCAAATCAAGTCGCAAGGTTGAAGCAGTGTGCTCCACCAAAAATTCTTCATCTTCGACAATCATGGCGTATTCTTGAAACATATTATCTTGAAGTGCAGCAGCCAAGATGGTCCTTTTGATTTCTCTGACAACGTCGAGTGCGACATTGAACTTCAAACAATCTTTGCGAAGGTTCAGAATAAGCCCGAAAGTAGGGCTGGACATGAGATTGGTGAGTGAGTGCCCATCTGGTTCTCCTTGCAAGTTGATGTTTGGAAAGTAGATCTGCGTGACCAATGCACGGATGGATTCGTTCTTCTTGTCCAAACCGCGAAGTACTGCCTCATCTCTGACAATGGACTCCAATTCGCTGTAATGAGAAGGATCTCTCTCAGCAGCTGCCAAGGCTTGGAGTACATTCCTCCTTTCTGTAATGACTTCCAGCGCAAGTTCAAACTTGATATCCTGTTGCTGGCGAGATTCAAGAACATGCAGAAACTGGGGTGTTGTCATGAGAGCATTAACCCTATCAACAGCTCCTCCCCCAATTCCAAAGGGATAGACAATCTGATGTGGAGTATTCATCTGAACAGAATAACAAGCCAAGAAGAAGCAAATATATTAGGGTTCGAACAGCAACAGATATATCAAAGAAACAGAAATCGGAAGAAAACCAAGCCAAGAACAGAGAGAACATTGACACGATGTAATGAGAATGGAAGACATATTAGGGTTTTGCAGATCCGCCAAGAGACCAAAGCAGGAAATAGCAGCATAGTGAAACAAACAGAGACGGAGGAACAACAGAGAGAGCTTCGGCACCATTAACAATGCAAAGATGAACAGAAAGATAAGATTTATGAGAGCAATCGAAGGGAGCAGAGCAGGGAATAGCATCGTAATCCAACAAACATATATCCGAAGGAAAAAACGAGGAGCAACAGAGAGAACTTGGCAAGAAAAATCAGAAAGATTAGGGTTCCCAAAGGAACCAAATCAGGAAATAACCAGAGAGCGAAGCAGAGAGAAGATGGCGGTTACCTCTTGAGAAAGAGCTCAATCAAGCTGAAGATGTGCGAATCTGAAGACCTGATTCAAAGGAGAATTCGCTAAGTCAGCCGACGAATGGAAAACAGCGGATCGGAAACTTGATTCAAGCTTCTCTCTTTTCGAGGATTCGAAGTAGAAATCGCTAAACAGAGACGGAATACTGAATGAAAGCTCGAAAAGATCACATGGCTGCGCAGGGATCGCTTACCGGAGGAGAGTAAAATCAACGAATTGTTCGAGAGATGCAACAAGATGCGGAACCCCTTCTACTGTCTGCGTAAAGGAAGTGAGGATCCAGTTCTTGCGATTTCGACTTTTATGTTTGGCATCGTTGCATTTCGCTGGAGATAAACCCTCTCCCTCCGGCGGTTTATAACCGAGCCTTGTCGAACACACTTTCGGCTGGAGGCAGACCCACTTATCGCCGCCGCCGGCTTCTGCCATGTGACAAGAGAAGATGTGTGGTTTGGGGGGGTTTGCCGAGGGGTTTTGCAGCGAGCGGGATGTGGGTTGTTGCAGCGAGGATGGGTTTTTGCCGAGGGAAAGAGGAGTCTGGGAATGGGGCGAGAAGCTTTTAGGGATTACAATTTCATAGAGAAGAAGACGATAGGTCATCCGTTGTTTTATGAAGGGAATAGCATTTATTTCGGCTAAATTGCAAGTTTGGTCACTTGAATTACTAGAAAATTTTACATTAGCCACTAGAATTATTTTATTCCATCCGTAGTCACTTGAATTAGGTTAACAGTTCAAATTTGGTCACTGGCCGTTAGTCGCCGTTAACTTTTGCTGATGTGGCGGTCAACTCTTATAGTTGACCGTTAAATGAGTGACGTGACAATTAAAAAAATAATAAAATTTTATTTTTAATAATTTCCACCTCATTATTACATTAAATTAAAAAATAATTAAAACAAAAAAATTGGAAGCTTGTTCTCATCGTTACTTTTTCTAACTAAAATTGGGATTTGGAAACTGGGAAACTTCCGCGCCGCTGGCTCTTCCAAATCCCTAGCCGTCGCCGCTCACTCTTCCAACCAATGAGATCGCGGCCGTCGCTGACTCCTTCGTCCAAGAGATCGCCACCGAAACTTCGAGTCCGTCGGGAACTGCGTCCCCACGAAGCCGAAAATGGACTCGAGAAAGATTCTCAGGCGCCGTGGAGGAGGAACCACAATGGCAGCGATTTGAAATTGAAGCTGCTGGTTCAGGTTCTGGAAATCAAGCAAATAGGCACCTATCCTCTCTGATTCAGTCTCCACTCACCATACGATGCTTGCTAGGCAGCTCATCGACCGCATCAAGAAGGGATTCGTTGTTCAGTTGGTTGATTACTCATACGACGATGTTCAGAATCGCAGGTGAGATTCTCCTCCATAGAAGGTGAACTCTTCGATTTTCCTAGTTATTGCTCATTTCTGGTGTGGTTTGGTCAGTTTGCAATTGCATTTGCGTTCTACAAGGTCGAGGTTGGTGGCGGGGACTCTGGCGACGGCAACAGTAGAGTGAAGGGATTTATCATTGTTGTTTTTTGTGACATTTTGTTTTTGTCACAAACAACGTTTTTTGTGACATTTTTTTGTTTTAATTATTTTTAATTTACTGTAATAATGAGATGAAAATTATTAAAAAATAAATTTTATTATTTTATTATTGCCACGTCACTCATTTAACGGTCAACTATAAGAATTGACCGCCACATCAGCAAAAGTTAACGGAGACTAACGGCCAGTGACCAAATTTGAACTGTTAACCTAATTCAAGTGACTACGGATGGAATAAATTAATTCTAGTGACTAACGTGAAATTTTCTAGTAATTCAAATGACTAAACTTACAATTTAGCCCATTTATTTCTCTTCCCTTTTGGGGCAGAGCCGTAAAGAAAAGAAGGATTAGGAAACGTCTTTAAGTCTTTTGCCATTTTATTTGTTTAAAAATGCGTTACTTAATTATGCTCTTAATTAATGGGTCATTGGTAATAGCTCTGCTTTTGGTTTTCTATCGAAACCGTACAGAAAAGAAGGAAACGTCTTTGCCATTTATTTGTTGGAAAACGCGTTACTTATTAGCATTAAGTTATTGCTCTCGGGAAAGAATAAAATAAGACAAGTAGTCAAGTACAGATTAGATAAATCTTAATTGGATTTTTGCATTGACGTTTAATCGGATTACTTATACACATTCCTTCCTTCAATTTTGGTTATAATAAGATTGACATATTAGATAAATTGTTATAGTGCCTATTTTTCTTGAATCCTTGTTAAATTTTCATATAAACTTAGTCTAGATTTGGGTATGCCCGTTGGTCTGATGAATTTCAATAATAGCATGAATGGCCATTGAAATTGTCCGAATTGAAACATATTTCATTTCTTACCATACAAAATTCCAAATCATTTAGTTAGCGTAAATACATATTCGTATAAATTTCATCATGCTAGCCCGATTTATCGACTAAAGTCATTACTCAAAAATAAGAAATTAAAGCAATGCAAGAAAACTGATTCCTAATCATTTAGTCAGACCAAACTATTTGCTCCTCGTTGTAAAAACAATTATTGCAAATTTCATTTTTAATTTCTTGTTATCGCTCAAACTCCGCCCTTTAAAGCACCAACATCTCCACCATTTACAATGCCTTTGTCTTCCTTAACAAAAGCATTATCTTCGCAACAGGTTGCTCGCTCACTTTTTCTTTTTATATCTCATTGGAAGTCAATCTTAATTAGTAATATGTTTGACAACACTAAATATTGCATGTAGTAGAGTTATGTCTCATGAACATTCTATGACATTCGTTCTTTCCCCTAACGCCGATAAACAATCCAGCGACCAACATGAAATTTGATAATCTATAGATGAAAATTTAATAAAACACTTTTAGGAGTTGACTATTCTCCAACATATACATTTTTTTTTCTTATTTCTTTCCAGATTTTATAGGTCAATTTGTAAATCATGAATCCGGTAGGGAGTATCATTATCATTCTAAGTTGATTTTAGAAAGTTTGGGAGTGTAGTCAAAGTTCAGTCGGCAATGTGAGACTCACCTTCACGACAATCTAATGAAAATTTGATGGTGGGGTTATGATTAGGAATTACTGTATAGATCGGATACCATTATAGAAGAATTGACAGTTCACGAATGTTGTTATACATGATGCTAGAGTAACATGTTTTTTATTTTAGAATATGTCAAAGTGAACTTAATTTTATTTAGTAGTAATTAAATTTGATTTCTTAGTTAAAAATTTATGATTTGAATTAGAACAAATGAAATATGATTAATTAATAACTAATGAGGGAGTGGTTATGCAACTTGAGTTAATAAACTAAAAATATGCTAAATTACCTAAATGGGAACAATATAATACAGCTGCTAATAATAGTTTTAATAAATATATAGAGGACGTTTACAATGTTTCATATCATTGGTTGATTCATTTTAAAAATATATATATATATATTTATAGTACAAATTAAACTTGTATTTTTAACGTTATAGTCAAATCCAATTTGTGTTTATACATTTTCGTATAAATTTCTTTATGATACAAACTGAACTTGTCACCGTCGTCATGACAAAATCCAATGGAGGGAGCAAGAGAGAAACTGAAAAGTGTCGGGGGAGAAAGTGGGAGGTGAAGTGATGCATTTCTGCCAGCTTTTGTCTCAATCAAGTTAATTAATTATTTTTTATTTTTTTAAATTTACATGTCATTAAGTTAACAGACCAGTTAGCAGTTCCATTTTCCGCGTCATAAAAAAATTGACGAAGTCAACGGAGACTGATGGCCGGTGACTAGTGGTGAAACGATTCGTAAAGTTAATGACGAATAAGAAAGAAAAGTAATTTGGTGGCACGAATAAGAGCTTGGCCTAGTGGTAATCCCATTAGCCTAGAATCTGGAGGTCCCAGGTTCGAATCCCTTAATTAGTACCTTAATTAATCACAAAAATGAAACCTATATCACCCTTATCAACAACAACAAAAAAAAATAATTCGGTGACAAACGTGAAAGATTTATGTAATTTGAGTGACCAAACGGCTAATTTAGCCTCTAAGATAATAAAATGACAGAAGAAAGGAAAATTCACTTTGGTCACGTTGTGTTGTGTGGCTCAACCGATGTGTGGGATTTGGTCTGAGATAATTAGTTATTGCTTGCCAAACAACATTGCGGATGGTTACCGTTTTGCAATTGTATTGGCTTTTTTAGTGTGTTGGTTGCCTTGTAAATTAACACCCTAATCCAATTGGGGCGACTTTTACCAAAATACTCTAATAAATCAATGAACATTCTTACAAAAAAAAAATCAATGAACATTAAATACATTGAAAGATAGTGGAAACGTCATACTAAAAAAACAGTAGATATAAAAAAGTCAACATGGTTTGAAACATCTTGAAACTCTAATAACTTTATGGGAAGAAGTTGTAGGCTTCACACCACTTGATTTGAACGTGTCTCGGCCTTTGTCGATATCAATCCACAAGAAATCCACCAAATGGCACATCCTCATTCATTGAAGATATTCAAGAGAGAGAAGCCGAGCTTGATGACCCGCTTTCACCTCTTAGACAAGGTTAACATAACCCACCATTGAACAAGAGAAAGTGAAGGAGGAGACTTCAATCAAGAGCATAAAGATGAGGAGCCACTAAAGGAGCAACTATCTCAACCTATCCAACCAAAGGAGGTGTTTCAAGAGGAGCCACCTATCATAAATGTTGATGACCATATCAACATGGAGTCCAGTCTAAGAGAGGATCAAGATGCCCCCACCATCCAAAAGATCACAAAGGAGTTCATCAAAGAAAATATATCATCTAGCTTAATGGAGGAAGTTTCAAGTCACACTCATCAAGAGTTCAACTCGAGTTGGGAGGAAGACATTGACAAAGATTGCAGTTTCAATCTAGGAGAAGAAGGAACCTCTACAACATCCTCTACACCCATGGAAGAAGATCAAGGAGTATAAATCCCACCTACTCGATGTGATGAAGCTCTATGCATAAAAGAACAAAGGTTTCAAGTGGATGGACCCCTTTATGATCACTTTACATCTTCTTTCTTAAAGTTCTGATCAAAACTTCAAACAAGAGCAAGTAAGGGTAGAGCATGACGAGTTCACCATTTACAAGGTCACTCTTGGTGAAAAGATGGAGGATGATATTCCTAAAGTTGGAGACCTTGAAGAAAATTTTGAAATCTTGATGGAGATGCATCAAAGAGTCAAGCCAGATCTCAATCGACTACTTGAGCAAAATCCCTTTGCAGTATTTTCTGGAGAGTCATGATATCGTAGCTTCATATCTAACTCAAATAGGGTAATACACAAGTCCCTACTTGTATCGTTACCTCTATCAAATGCCAAAATTCAAAATTCAAAGTGTGGGATAACAGGTGCAAGGTGGAGAGTAAGGTGGTTTCTGCTTCATGGTCCACATCAAGCTAGAAGAAGAAGGATGGTACACAATTGGAGTATGTAATCAATACAATGAGCTTAGATAAAGCTTAAGTTGGGGACCTTGAAGGATAAGGATCAATTACTAGCTCAAATGCATAAAATAAAGAGCTCTTCATGGGAGGGAACCAATGTCTTGCATCCAAATTAAAGGTGTAAATAAAAGTGTTACCGAGGAAACAACCTGGATTTCATAAGTTTTCTCTTAATCTTTTCGTTTTATTTTCAATTTCCTATTGAGGTGAAGCACTTGATTTCCCTATGTTTTTTGCTTTGATTATTTTCTTTCATTTTTGTAATCCATAGGAAAATAAAAAACGAGAATGGAGCAAGGAGATCCAATGGTTCCAAAATTGACGAATCCTTCAAGAAAATAGAGAGCACACTCATAAATGGAGAAGTAAAAGGAGCAACGATTCCACCCGATGCACCACCGTCGCTGAAAAACCTACCCAACCAACGCTCCATTTCCTTTTCATAAACAAATAAGGATTTAGACCTATCCTTCTCCCACAAAGAAAACGACGGCGGTTCGACCCGCTGCTCCTAATGATGAGCCCTAGATGGGTCTCTTTGGTCATAATCACGCAGCTGAATCAATTCAATGGGATTGAATGGAACTTCAGGCAAAACTCGCAAAAACATAGTGCCGAATTGGTGTGTTGGGATGATCAATTTCGTCCAATCTCACACGAGGGAGAAGGCTCAAAATAGATAGGTAGAAGCCAGGCCACGAACAAGGTGTCTACTTGTTTAATACAAGCACTCGAACCACTTGAAATCCATCAAGAAATCCAACCAACTCACGAAGCAAACTTGTGAATTGAAAAACTTGAAGTTCTATTCAATCAAATCATAATCTACCTATTACAATGCGATGGAAGAGACCTTAAGTAGAACTAGCTACGTTTACAAGCTAAAAGGAAAACCTAATTACAACGTAATACAAAAACAGAACACACAAAACCAAAAATTAGAAGTAGTCCTAATCCGCGAAGGATTCGGATTGTTTTCTGGTTGTCTTCCCAACCAAGGCTTCATACGATCTTTTGGCCATTCATTTGAAGCCTTCCAAGGATCAATTCGATCATCCAATGCCTTGCCTCTGTAGTATATCTCATGTACTTTGATGTGGTATGAAGTCTGGAACTCAACTCTCACTCCTTTGTCTCGAATAATCTTTCAAAGTTGGCTTGGAAAACTATCTCCAAGCCAATTTCAGGCAGTTTTCATGTGTTGAGGTAACATTTTGATGAGCTTCGAAAATGATCCTCTGAACTTTTCTTCGAGCATCCAAGCTTTCCAATGTGTAGAGCATTACTTCAGCTTCACAACAAGCCCTTGAACTCTCATTTTCATCGAGCAATTTGAAAGAACCAAGCTTGCAAAGTTGGTTACCTGAAACGTGAAAAACAGTTCTACAATTTTTAGGTTCTTTCTTGAAACTTGACTTGACATCTTTGATGATCAATCTTGAATGGAAAGTGATGGATTCTAGCATTGTATCAGCTAACCGCCACTTCGTTTCCATGTCCTACATACATAAGGACTTGGAAATAATCCATATCTGAGAAGGAAACGAGCAAAGGTACTACCCACCGCTCACCCATCGTTCGCATATTAAAGAGAGAGAACCCCCTCTTATTTTCCTCACATAAAATCACGAAGATCAAGAACATCTAGAGCCCAAATTGGTGCAAAAACTAGTGGGAACACCACTTTAATAAGCCTTTCAAGGAAGGAGGAGTTGCGAAGACCCATCCTTGTAAGATGGTTGAGGAGAAAGAAGTTGCGTTAACATAAGAAAGCAAGAGGGAGGTATCCATCCAAGAAGAAAAGAGGGAGATATGAAAGAAGGTGTTGAAGCTTGTTCAAGCCCATACAATGGAGACATCTCATACCAAGAAGGAGGACAAAGACGATGACACAACCTCGACAAAGGAGATGACCATTCATGAAGAAGTATCGCGATACCCCCCAATGGTGAAAAATATTATAGAGAGGAGAAAAGATTGACATGCCACTTTAGGAGAGAATTCTAGATTATGTGCTGATCAAGATGGAAGATAGAGACCACATACTCCTTGGTCTTTGGTAGACCATTTCTTGCCACTTCCGTTGCCATGATCGATGCGGAAAAATGAGAGATCACACTATGACTAGGAGGTATCATGCATAGAGAAGTGGGGTCTATTGAAGACAAGGAGGTGAACCCATCAAAGATGATGATTTCAAGGAGAATGAAGATACGAAGCCAGAGATAGAGATCAAGATCGGATCAGGATTTCTATACAAGGCTTCCTCATATGCAAAATATCATCACCATGATGAAGACCTAGAATGGAAAGACAAGTTGAAAGGAGCTCCACCAACTTCTGATTTGAAGCTAGCACCAATAGTATTCAAGATAGCCAATATAAGCTCAAAGTTTTCGCTAGAGAAGATCGAGGAGCTGGAGTACGAAGCGTCGGAGGAATTTCAAGAGTTCATATGCCAAAGTGGATTCAATCGACATCCCATGGAGCCAACCATGATGAATGCAGCTGGATAGGGTGATGAAGGCTCACTATCTTTTTGTCCAATGAGGATAGGTGTTACTTTTAAAGTGTGGGGTGAAATTGGGTGACACGTGTTGCTTGACTATACTTGATACATGACATATTTTTAGGCATTCAATTTCGAAAATACTAGTTTTATTATCCATTTGATTTTTTTTTCAAAAGTGCTAAAGATGTTTTCCACCTAATGACTTTTAGTCATCCCTTGCAAACTTTTCACTGCTCATCTTAATTTGAATCAATGAGTGTAGGGAATGTCACTTGATGAAACGTAGAAATGTATATTCTAGACACCCATATTATGATCAAATGAGCATTCATTCATAAATTTATCATCATAATATCTTGAATTTATGACGTGATTACTTCAAGTGCATTCTAGCATCCCTAGAATTGTTTTTATACAATTGATGCGCTTTTGATGTCTTCATTTCCATCGATGAACATCCAGGAACCCCTCTCCATGGTTGGCTAAGTTCTTTAGTTGCGTAAGCATGTTAACCCTAGGGATTCAAACCATGTAAAATTCGATGTTTGGTTTAATACGATCGTTCTCATATGTACAATGATCGAAATGATAGTTTCTTAGGATGGGACTAGAAATAGCATTCCTACTCAAGTAGCAAATCGAAATATTTATCAAATTACTACGGACGATGGTTGATACCACTAGGGAAGTACCACTAAGTCGCTACGAATAAATGACTACCACTAAGGGAGTACCACTAGACGACTACGTGTCTACCAGTACATGACTACCATTATATGATTACTAGTACATGAACCATATCCAGGTACCACTAGGGAAGTACCACTAAATTACTACGCCTAAATGACTACCACTAAGGGAGTACCACTAGACGATACATGTCTACCAATACGTGACTACCACTAGATGATTTCCACCAAGTGCCTACACTACAATAATACTACCACTAACTAACTTGAACCATAACTACTGGTACATTTTTGCAGAAACATTATCTGTACCACTATTAAAACGGTACAAATGCAACGAAAGTCGTAACGACACAGGTTAACCCTGCCGCCATTGTTGTCGTCGACGCCATTCTCCGCCACGTTGTTGTTCTCCACATCGACGCCATATTGAACGTTGTCCGTGATTTTGTCCCGTTCCAGATGGTCTTCGTTGACCAGCTCCTCCACGTCCAAAACGTCGCCATCATCGCCATTATCCGTCGGGTCCGGCTGCTCAGCTCTGATCTCATATATATTCTCCTTGTTGCTTGTCAATGGGACGTTCAGGTCAAAGCCGAATAAACAACTAGGTTCAGCTCCACCCCATTCTCCGTCGTCGTTGCAAATGTAGTCGTCCATTGTATGGCTGCGACCGCATCGCTGGTATTTTCCGGAGCTATTGATGCCTGGTTTGATGAGGGGTCTGGTTTGGCGAAGGAGAAGCCAAAAATGGAAGGGAAAGATTCCCAGGTGAAATAGGCTCTCACCACCCTCCAATCACGCTCCAAGATTTTCTCCGTGCATTTAAGTGGCAATTTAGAAATAAGTCCCAAAAATTTGATGGTAAAATTACATTTTGGTACACAAAATTATTTTATTTTACAATTTATTACCTAAAATTTTAAAACTTTACAAATAGGTCCAACGTGTTTGTATGATGCAAAGGGTCATAGGGTCAAAAAGTGACCCGACCCTAAATTGACCTGACCCTACCTGACCCGACCCTAAGGTGACCCTGTAGACAAACTGACTCATCCCGACCCTCAGGGTCGGGGAGGGTCTGTGGGTTTTAAGGGTCAAACTTACACCCCTAGGGTCCGACGATTCAAACAGGGACGACGTAGAGGAGGGGGCAACGTAAGGGGAGGGAGACTCTCTTCTTCGATTTGGGATCGTCTAGTACTGCGACGGTGGCCTTAGACGAAAAGAGAGGGTCGGTGAAGACAAAGAAGTCGTCGGAAGTGCTTATAGACATTCTGCCAAGAGGGATATCAAGGAAGAAGAAGTGATTTTGCGTTTTTAAAAAAAAAAAGAAAATTGTCATAGATAGGAGGTTTTTCCAATTATTTTCTGGCGACAGTCAAATAAAGTAACAATTAAATTAAAGTGAAAGGAATTAAATGAAAAGATATTAAATAAAGTAACAATTTTTTGCCTTTTTTAATAAAAAATGCAAAATAACGGCGATGTTTCTCCGTCTGTGTGGGTACCTGCCGTTTTGGGCCACTACGCATGGGTCACTGGGTTTGACAGGAGTTTAATAAGCTTAGTCCGTGATAGATCATAGTCTATGTGAACCAATCACCAAAAGCGGCACCGGTGTTGCACTATTTCGAGCGGCACTGTAGTGTATTGGCCAATAAAAAATAATTAGTATTTACATTTTTAACACTCTTACAAACTGTTTGGTACCAAATGAATTGAGAATTGATTTCATTTTAAAATGAATTACTGTATAAAATTCATTGTCAAAAGAATTCTTGTGTTTGGTATGTTATATTCAAATATTTATAAATAAAATGAATTGAATTCTCAAACCATGTTTGACATAAGTATAGAATTGAATTAAATTGAAAGTTCCAACTATACCCTTAACCATTCCCGACAGAAAGAATATTCATTGAAAATCCATTTTCTAAAAAATGCTTTGGTCTCATAACTAGAATTTCAAAATTATTCTTATGTTCTTCTATTCTATTCATTAGTTCATTTCTAATATATCGTCGATGAATCATACACACTAGTTGTTGCAATCAATTTATTGTCGACATTTCTCATACTACATATGTTGCTGCCAAATAATATATGTAGACCTAATTTAGGTGATAAATGAGGATAATTATGTCATTTTATTATAAGTAGTAAATACTTATGGAATACATTGAAAAATTTCAGCTCAATTTCTCGAAATTCCTATAACTAATAGAATTCAAAATAAATTCATTTAAATATCAAACATGAAAAAAATTCATTTCAAAATTTTCTTTTAACTACTCAAAACTTATGAAATTCAATTCATTTATACCACCAAAGAGAACGTGAAAGATGGCCCACCTCATACTCATCCATGAAGATTGAAGAGGATAACAAGTTAACAACCATTGTTCCAATGGGCCTTGGAGGGCCCTAAACTTCGATCCCAACAAAACAATGAGTCCTAGTCCTAATCGTTATCGTAATCCGACGACTACGAGGGAGCAAATGTGTGGAACCAGCCGCAGTATAAATAGAACAGAGGAGGCAAGCATTTGGGGCCTCGTATACCCACTCGCTGAGTTTGTTCTCCTAAATCCCTAGCTCGTCTTTTCCACCGAATCCCTTCTTCCGGCGCCGTCCTTCAATCCATCCGTCTACGCCATGGCGACCGACAACAACTGCACTTCGGAATCGGATATGCCAACACGAGTACTCCTTGGCCGTTGCAGAAAACAACCACGAATCGGTTCAAAAGCAACAAGCCCTCCTCCCACCACGATGATCGGCAAACTCGGAGACGATCTCCTCGTAGAGATTCTAGTTCGCAGCTTCCCCGATCCCAAATCTGCCTTTCGCTGCAAAGCCGTCTGTAAGCGCTGGAACTCCCTGATTTTGAGTCCCTGCTTCAATCGCCGTATGGTTTCTCACCATCAGAACGTGAAGCTGCACCCCAAGGAGCTGCAATCTGCCATCCTCAACCTTCTGCCTCCCATGCCCAGTAGAGTTGGAGGCAGTCTGAAAGTCTTGGATTGCTACAAGGACTTGGTTTTATGCGGGTTTTGGGATGTAAATGGGGACAATGGGGAACATAGCAGGTCTTACTTAATCTGCAATCCGTTTACCAAGCAGTGGGTCGCTCTTCCTTTAGCCCCCAGGAAGCTAGATGGGTATTTATCACCGGTGACAAGGTTAGTTTGTGAACCCCTTATTTCTAATAAACTTGATCTAGGAGATGACCAGTCAATTATTTATTCCGAGTATCGCTGCCGGGTGGTGTGTATATATCAAGATGTGGAGCCGTTGTCTCTAAAGCTCGACGTGTTTTGTTCGGAGTCTGGAGAATGGATAAAAGATGCTCTTGTTCTTGACAAATACCTGAGAATCGGAGCTAAATGTGTAAGTGTGTGCAGTGGGGAGTTTTTCTGGACGCACACGAAATTCTGTCGAGAAAATGCGGCCAACCCTGTGAAATTGGTCGCTGGGTTCAATCCTTTCCGCCTTGATATACCTCCCGCTTGCATTGATACTACCACATTCGCGTCAGAAGATATGTGGGCAACTTCGAGTTCACAAGGTGCTCTTCATGTAATTTCATACCAAACCAAAACTGATCCTCGCCGTGTAATCGTTTGGAGACTAGAAGAAGACCGTAAATCTTGGAGGAAACAATATGAAGGGTTGGTGAAGAACCCAAGGTGCTGTAGCTATGAAGCTAAGGAGGAATCCTTTCGACCTTTTCTGCATCCACATAAACCAGAGATTGTCTTCTTCCAGTGTGGTGCTTGTGGTAGTACTTTATGGTCCTGCGATTTGAGAAGGGAAGAGTTGGAGTTATACGCTAAAGTGGAAGATGTGGATGGTAGTCATTCTTATGCTAAGGTGTTTGGGCCTAGGTTCTCTTGCTGGCCGACACCAATTCCAAGATACAAGGAGTTGCTAGGCATGTACAATGGAAGCTACAGTTTTTGGGCTCAGGGCAGCAGTGAAGCAAGATCTCCATCCCTCGATAATTGGTGATTACTTATGCTTGTACATTTACTTTCTTTTCTGCTATTTTTACAATTTTGTTTGCTTTTGTAATTTATCAATGTTGTCAAATCGATTCCATTCGGAGCTTATTCAGCACCCTAAAACAATAACAACAAAGCCAAACCTGATTTAAATTAGGAGAAATACAGATAGTTGCCTACTGCCACAAACTTCAGGTAACTGTACCCTATCATCTTTGCCATATAGGTGGCGTAACTTTAATCCTAAGTAGTCTTGCTGCTGATTCGATTATCTGGACGAACCTAGACCTCTTTGATCCTTTAGCTTGTCTTCTTTGGTGAACTTCTGGGTGGAAATCAACCTTTTTCCTGCTCGTGCTCCAAGTCTAGGAAAAAGTGGTGGAAGAACTCCCAAGAACCATTTTTTTCTTTCTTTCAGACTCAATAGGCATCCATGTGAGAAACACAAGCAGATAACAGTCAGTATCTTCGAGTTGCTGCTTTGTTTTACCTCCAAATAGACTTTGCTTTGCTCCCAAACAAACTCAGATATTGGTATGCTTGGAGCCAATTATTGTCCTACACAAAAAAACGAATATATCAAACATAAAACTGGCAGAACCGTTGACCTTGAATTAAAATGGCTCAACAAATGCGGGCTGGTGTCTGGGGAAATATGTATAAATACTGAGTGATGAAACACCTTCAAAAGCAAACATTGCTTTATCATACAGGTTTCAGAAACTGAAGCCATTTATCCCTAACAGATCCTGTTTTACGAGTGTAGAAATAGATAGATAGATAGATAGATTGGAAGGCCAGTCCCGGTTAACAACCATGGAGTTTACTAATGAGATATCATATCTCACAAAGAACAGAGAAAAAAGCATCTTTCAACAGGATAATGGGTGCACTTTTAGGATCGCTAACTTACGAGTGCTTCCTCACTTCACTGCAGCTCGTCTGGTTTCTATTTCGTTTGGGTTGCAAACTCACTGCCTACTCTTTTAAGTTGGCCATTATGATATATGCACATGGACGTTGATTGCGTTTTCTTTCATTTCTTTCTATTGCCTGGTTTCTAGTCCTATATTTTCATCTAATTTCTGTTGTGCTATAAAGCAGTACGACAATGCCATTAGAATAAGAAATATCTTATATAATATACTCCAGTCCAAGCAGATGTAGGCCTAATCCGTCTTGGAATGCTTTTGATCTAGCCACGTGTCGATGATGACAAAGGAGTGTTCGACCCTCCCTCCGCATTTAGCATGGTTGTCATGCCGGTGGCACTTTGGTATAGTCCTAGTAGATGTACCAAAAGGTCCAATGACTTCGAATTCAATGAGTTCACCTTGATGTTTGTAGAATATATCAAACTTTGATAATAAAGCTTATTGCCTCTTTTCAACTTGTCCCATTTCAACCATCATGCCCGGATCCAAACTCGAACAACAAAATTTGCACTACAATCATTTCTTCCATCGAATTAATTGAGAATTGATATTTAAGGCTTGCCACTGCTAATCTCAACCAATTCACTCCAAACTACCTTTTCAAATATAATTGTATCGCGATGAGTTTTTTTAGTAGAAGAATTATCCCGAACAAAATGTGGTGTCTACAATTGCCCCCATTGCCCCCTTAAAGTTCTGAGAAAACATCACATTTTGAAATCTTAGAAGTAGAAATCAGTGGCGGACCTAAGGCAAGGGAGGGTGTGTCGTCCGACACACCCTCGCTCGAGAATTTTGTGAAGAACCTACATATTTTTGGTACAAAATTTTTTATTTCGAGATAGTCGACACACCTTCAAATATTATAGCCGACACACCTTCATTATACTCGAAGAATTTATTATCCGAATGAATCAATCTTAATCATAATCCTTTTTATTTTTGTTTAACATAACTCATAAATCATAATCCTATCAATCCATATTAAAAACAAACAAACTCTCAGCCCATACAATATACATGTGTGATGTGTGTTGGGCCTCGGCCTATAATTAAAAGAGAAAAAAGAATCCACAGGCCTAATGGCCAATAGCCCAGGCGGCCACTAACTCCCGTTCGTTACCTGTTGCAACGGCAAGCTGCCAAAGAACATTTTCAGCTATGAAGATAATCAAGAACGATCTTCGAAATCGGTTGAGTGGTCAATTTATGAATGATTGTTTAGTTCTGTATATTGAAAAGATTTGCTTTACAGTATAAGTGATTAATGTATTTTAGAGACATTTCAGTAGATGAAAAGTCATCGTGATTCGTTGTAAACATGACATTGTGAACTTTATGAATTAATTTTTTTAATTTCTACTTAATTTTTATATTTAATTTAATTATTATTGTATTTTATCGCCGACACACCTCTCCGACAATCCTGGGTCCGCCACTAGTAGAAATTGAACCAATATTTGTTAATAACAACGTATCCATAATGTTAAGATGACAAGAGCCAGATTGTATAAGAAAGTGGCAGGGATATAATCAAACTGACCATTTGGTAACAACGATATACTCAAGTTGTCCGTGATAGAAACAAATCGATCAATTTGAAACATGTTAGCGATGAAATCAAGCTAATCATTTTGTAACAACAATATAATCAAGTCGTTTGTGATAGAAATTGAAATGAACATTGGTAAAAGGGCTAGCGATAAAATCAAACTAACCATTTTACAACAACGATGTACTCAAGTTGTCTGTGGTAGAAATCACGTTTGTCGGTGAGAAAGATGATAGAGATATAAGATCAAGCTAATCATTTGGTAACCATGATATGCTCAAGGTGTATATGAAAAGGAGTTAAGAGGGTTGGAGTATGATGATGTGGCTACTATGGAAGGAAATGAATGCCCATCTTTTTAATGGAACGAAGCTTGCAGGAGAAGACATTATTTCGAGAGCGATCTCTTTGCTCGACGAGTACAGAGAGTAACAAGCTTTGATTCACCCACCACAGCCGAGCTGAAATGAGGGAATGTGGAAGATACCGAGGGTTAGTGCTGATTATATTGGCTCTTGGGTGGTTGTTGGCGATGCTGATTAGGGACACCCCTAAAATTTTGGAAATTGATTCTCGATCTCGTGGTACTTAATTTGAGTATAGGAAAAAATATGGAAAGTTTGTGTGATTTGAATCCATGACACTATTGTTTTTAATAAACATATTCTCAATTAGATGACTTAAAACATAAATATAATTATAACACAACTATCCCTTATCCCCAATTTCTTAAGACCTACCAATTAACTACGGGCTACCCCTTCCCACCATTCTAACACAAGAATAACAAGTTTTGAAATCAAATAGGCGATCAGTTTATGAATGATTGTATATATATTGAAGAAATTTATTGAGTGATGTAGACAATAAGTGTATTTTACAACTTTTCTAAAATATGAAAATATGTCATAATTTTTGTTATAACTTATACTAATCGGATATTTTCTTATTTGCAATTTTTTGTATTTATTTTATTTTTGGAATGGAACAATCCTATATAAATTTTCTGAGTTCACCACAACTTCCTCGTCCACTATTTAATATTTTGTAGTAAGCAAATCCAATTAGAGCACACTAATAGGACCACAAATTGTGAAATATTATCCTGGCAACTACTGATTTTCGAACAAAAGTGCAATGATTTACAACAATCTAATTTAAACTAATTCGGCGATGGTAACGAAACTAGAGTATACCTTAGTGACTATAACGAAAATTCACCCAAGCTTCTCAAATAAGCTTCTCATACCTCTCTCAACTCTCAATCACTAAAAGTCAAAACGCCATGCCGCGCCACTCCCTGAATTGGAAAACAGGAGGGAAATTCAGAACACTACCGCCGCCGATTGTCGAAGCAAGGCCTGGCGGCCGGCCATCAATTCCATTCGCCACCCGTCGCCGGCTTCTGCTTCTCGGAATCGGTAGTCTTCACGACTGAACAGGATTCGGGAGTTCCTCTCAGTCAAAGATTACGGTCGGCGCCGGAGGTTGTAGTGCAACTCCTTTGCCATGAGAGATTTTGCTCTGACCAGCGGCGCCAGCAATAACAAAGCAATCAATGGACTGGAGAAGGAGGATGAGCTTTTGTCCCAATCCTCAATTTTGCCCTCAAGGAAGAAACGGAAGCAAATCCGCAAATCCGCACTCATCCACTTCCGGAGCTTCGATGTCCCTCTTGTTTCCCCAACCACTGGTTCGGTTCTCACTTCCATCCGCCTGGAAGCCGACCGGCCTTACGTCGTCGGTCGAGCGAGCGGCCACTGTGACCTTCTCGTACGCGATTCCCGTGTCAGTAAGAGACACTGCCAGATTTTGTTCGACGGTATTCACCGTAAGGTTTATATTCTCGATGGCTCATTTCTTTTGCCTGATGGCCATGCTGCTGTTAGTGAGTTTAGGAAGAGACTCCTTTCTTATAATCAGTTGGGAGGGGAGGAAGCGGTGAACATGGACTGTTCTGGCATCCAAAATTCTTTGAATGGAGTGTTTGTTAATGGTGTGAGGGTTGAGACAGGTGTGGTTAGAGAGCTTTGTGCCGGTGATGAGGTGTTGTTTGTTTGTGGAAATGAAGGTATTTGTAGCTTAGGTATTCGAATTGGGTTTGTGATTCAGGGCGTTGTATTGACGGAGGAAGTTATCTGGGGACTGGATAGGGCTCAGTTTGAGAGGAGGAGGAAGAGGTTAGTTGAGAATACCGCCTCGATGGGGCATTCCCAAAGATCAATTTCAGCTGGAAAGAGAAGCAAAAGAGTCTTTGCTTTCTCAGAAGGTGAGATAATGTCACCTTGTAATGAGTCTTGGAGACCGGGATATGGTGGCATTGCAAGAAGAGCAAAGTCTCTGCTTAGTCAATGTCTGCATATATTGCACAGTGATGATCCCATGAGCTATATCAGACAATTGGCTTTACCAGAGGTGGGGATGAATGCTCTGTCTTGCGTTAAGAATGGATCGAGCTCCCAACCGTGTATGAACTTACTTGACACAATTGAAGATCCTATGAAAGGTGAAGCTCTGGTTACTGGTGGTGAAGAACATCCCTTTAAGAGTCCATCTGTGCATGATGATAAGCAAAATAGTGAAGGAAAGGGTGATGACAGGCAATGTATCTCTGACAGAGGTGACCAAATGCATAAAATACAGAATTTGACATTACCATCCGAGAGGGCAGCCAAGAATGCTACTTCTGGTGTTCCATTGTTGCCTAATTGGAATGAGGGAAACAGTACTCCAGTCCAGCCAGCCCACGTGAACACTTCAGAAGATCAAATGCGGCCCCCAGGGAAGAAGTTCTATTTGAACCGCCTTCAGTTTATGGATCATCCTTCGTCTACAAATCATAACACTATCTCTTTGCCAGAACTGCTTTATCCTGTCAACAGCATTATGCGAATATTTATTGCTACGTTCACAAGTGATATCTTATGGTATGATTACAATTTCCATTGACTTTGTTTGTGGTTTATTATTGTTCAGTTCTGAAACGTGGCCATTTAGCTTTGCAGTCTTAATTCCTTTTCAGCCTTTGGAGTATAAGATTCAGAACTCAAAGGTTTAAACTGTTTTTGAGTGGCTCAATGAGTTCATTTTCTTTCCATTAATTAATGGGACGTTTTCTGCATATTTAGTGCAACTGAATTTTTAGGTGTTGGTGATTTACTGAGTTCCTGTTCCTGGCAGGTTCTTAAAATACTGTGGAATTCCGTACGAACTTCCGGTAACAATTGCATGTCATGACACTGAAAGATGTTGGAGCTCCAGCCCTGGGCAACGATCCTCAACACCTTACCCAGATTACCCAAATTTGGAAGTAGTGTAAGTGATGGATTCAACTTCTTCATCTAGTAAAGATCGAGAAAACAAAGCGGATTGCTGTAGTTGGTTCAAGGTCTTATTTGAAGTTTTAGATGGACAACTGCTAATTTTCCTGGAGTCTGGTCCCATCAATTATATAGGTTCCCCCCATTTCCCGAGGCTATAGCATTTGGTAAAGACCTCAAGAAAAAAGGCATCGGTTGTCACCATCCAAAGTTGCTTGTTTTGCAAAGAGATAACAGCCTCCGTGTTATCATCACTTCTGCAAATCTAGTTCCTAACCAGGTGATTACTTAATGTAAACCAATCTTTCCAGTGTCAGAATGTCTTAATGATCATAACTTAGATGCATTGGGCAGAAAGTAATACAGTAACCCATGGTTGCCTCTGACTCTTACAGTGGAACCATGTGACCAACACCATTTGGTGGCAAGATTTCCCTGTCAGAAGTGAACCTGATGTTTCATCTCTTTTTAGAAGAATGCCTAATGGAGAAGCAACTCAAACGTCATCAGATTTTGCTGCTCAGCTGGCTAGATTTATGGCGTCGCTTGTTATTGATGTTCCTACTCAGGCACATTGGGTTACCGAGTTAACAAAATATGACTTTGAAGGGGCAGTTTGCCATATAATTGCTTCAATACCAGGAATTCATTCTTACAGGACAGAATATGTAAGTGCCTTCATTTTGGTTACGCTTGAATCAATGAGATGATTGTCAATGTCTTAGAATGCTCTCTTTTGGAGACTTCAAATGTTGATACACATTTGTTCTATCCAACGAGGTCAAATTTGATGGCTTTTTTAGTTGTCAAATAATTGCTTTCCATTCTGGGACTTACGTATTTGCTTTGCTATCTTCATCGCAGACATCTCGGTGTAAATTGGCCGCACCTGTTGTGGATTCTTTGGGTTGGGCCAAAGCATCTGTTGTTGGTTTAAGCCATCTGTTTCATTCTAGGTCAGATATCAAAGGCATTCAGCTTAAGAGTTTGGCCAGTTTTCTTAGTAGAACTCATGAAACTGTGGATGGCATGTGTGAAGTTGTTTTGAGAAGAAACATGAGCGTGGTGGCAGATGCAAATGCCGTTAGTGTTCTTGTTTCTAATCCTGATCATGCTTCTGAAGGAGGTAATTGTCTTATTACTATATGATACTGTTTATCTGTTTGGGTTACTGTTCTGGTGTCTTCACATTTTTCATGGCCCTAGCTCTGGGTTTTTATGTACATTGTATCATGCGTGTAGCTTTATGAAAAAGTAGAGTTGAGACATGGAGTAATTTGGCATATTTATGCTTTTGCTAAACTGACTGATTGCTTTATTTGTTGAAATAGATTGCGTGCAACTTGGTTTTCTGCCTAGATGTGTTGCGACGTGGGTGTCGCCATTGTGGGATGGCGGATACTTTAGTTTCTCTGGATATGTTTCTCCTAAAGAAGCCCTTGCTGTTGCTTTAGGAGGAAGCAGCAACATAGTGCAACTGAGGTTATATGTGTTACACGTATGGTAATTTTTTGGAGTACATTTGCTTCTGTATGTCAAAGCTGTAGTGTTTTCTTTGTGTGAAGATGAGAGCATGATCTGGCGATTCTTAATGATGCAGGGTCCTCGATTTCCTGATATGATGAAGTTGTTGCAATTTAAACACGTTATTGCTCTTTGTTCTCTCATTGCCTCACTCCAGAGTTGTACAGGCCTTTGGCGTTTAGAGGAGGTACAGAATTCAGTTCAAGTAACCGTACTTGTTGACCCTTAACCATACAACTACCAACTTTTCCCCCAGTCTACATCTTCCAGTCTCACCCATGTTTCTCGATTTAGAATATGACTTCGTATGTGGGTCAGTGGGTGCATCCTAGATTATTCTTTTGTGGAAACTTTACGAGTATCAACCATGGACGTGGCTAGTTATCTGCTGGGAAGAAAGTTTCAATAGTATCTGCTGACTGATTTTACATTTTGTCATCTATTAGATTTTAGGTCGATACAAATGGCCTGAGTCACAGCAATCTGATTTCATTTATGGTGAGTGTCTGCCGACTCCTATCTGCGGTTCTCTACATGTCTTTTACTCTTTATGTCATACTATTTTGTTCTACAGGTGCATCTTCAATTGGGTCCGTCAGTGCACAATTTGTCTCTGCTTTTTCAGCAGCAGCCGGGAAAAGATCTTCAAACCTCCCTGATTCTGAAGAATCTGATCCAGAGGTACTACTGTACTAGGGATCAGCTTCATCTTTCTAACAGTCATGTGACCATATAGATATGAAGTCTTTGTTGTGCTCATTCATTCACCAGTTAATTGATTCTCTTGACAGTGGGGCTGCTGGAGTGCTAGTCAAGAATTGAGAAACCCATCTATGAAGATACTTTTCCCTACAATCGAAAGAGTAAAGAAGGCACATGGCGGGATCCTATCTTCGAGGCGCATTCTGTGCTTCTCAGAGGTACTCATGATGCTGTTTATGACCATCCCAAATATTAGCTTCCCAAAGCCTAAATAATCCCTTCGCTCTTTCCTTTGTCTGCTCCTCTTTAGAAAACATGGCAGAAGTTGCGAACTGCTAACATATTTCGTGATGCTGTCCCTCATCCTCATGAGAGAGTCGGGCGTCCAATGCACGTGAAGGTAAAAACTTTTGGCATGAACTCCGTTGAACTCTAATCATTCAACTTGCCGACTTGGGAAACTGAGGGTAAATCATTGTAAGCAGGTTGCCAGGAGACAATTCTGGCGTGGGACGCAAGAAGCTTCAGTTGGCTGGGTGTACTGCGGCTCCCATAATTTCAGCGCTGCTGCTTGGGGACAAACAATCTCAAACTCCTCTTCAGGTCCAAAGCTTCGCGTTTGCAACTATGAACTTGGGATAATCTTCGTCTTCCCTCCAACAGATGATGGCTCTAATCAGGATCAGGAAAGCTTGAAAGACATCGTTCTGCCATTCGCTGTACCAGCTCCAGAATACAGACCAACAGATAGACCAGCAACAGCTCGGGCAATGAGAGAGGCACTATCAGAACTTACTGAGTATCACGCAAGACAAGCACGCGAAGAGTTGGCACGCATAGAAGAAACTCAGGAGGTCCCTGATGACGAAGAAGAAGAAGAAGATACAGAGGCAAACAAGTATGGCTTAGAGGAGAAAGAAGAAGAGAAGGCATATGCTGAGATGCTGTGGATTGAAGTCGACTCTTCTCAGAGCTCTCTCTCCGGAACGTAGGCGGAAAGCTACAGCACACTCAAATAATTTCTTTGGGAAGTTCAAATCCTTCATTGTTTCAAGAATAAACTTGTTAGAATATATCAATACACGGGTAGATAGATGGTAGTGAGTGTATAGCTTACTCCCCTTATTAGATGGGGCAGAGTATTGTTAAAGGTTGCATCAGGGATATCTTATATCTTCACTTTGTAATTCGGCATTCCTCTTCTTTTTCACAAAATAAAATGGAATTACAACAGTCTGTAACCTTTGCTGTGAATTTCTGTAACCTATTGTTAGTTAAATACTTCGGAATTATTGTTCATGTGGACTGATCTTTAATCAAAGCGTATATCATGTAAATTCTTGATGTTATTTACTACTTTCTATGTTTGTCGTTATTTTGAGAATAGTTGCAGTATATTGCACTATTAAATTATCAAAGTGAATTGGTCTAAGCAAGTTAGTTGTATAAGCTCTGAAACCTATGTCATTAGTTCCAACTTACCTCGGATATATTTACTGTGTATGGTTTATTAGTGTTAACATATTTATTTCTATTCTCACTCGCTATGCCATTGATGTTCGATTTTGGGCCTATGAGAATGTTGTAGGTAAGATGGCAATGGGCCGGGTTGGGGGCATATAGTGCATATCCATTACCCTACCCAAATCAGTTTGGGTTTTACTTATACCCACATAAGAAATAGGTAGAAAATCAAAACCATACCCATACCTGTTCGGGTTTCGGGTATTCATGGGTAATAATTTTTCTTCATAACTCCAACCAATATGTTAACATTCACACGTATTCTCACATTACGTAAGAGGAAAAGTACGACAATAATTCACTAGAATGAATAAAATTAATTAAAGCAATAAAATTTCATGAAAATATTATATTTATATGCTAAATATAAAGTATGCTAGAGAAAAATAATCATTAATTACCGGAAAAAAATCATTATTTCTAGACAAAATACATATGCATGTGTATAATCGGGCGAGTTCGGGTTGGATAGTGAGAAACCCATGCCCACCCGTTATCCTTAATATTCGAGTTCGGGTTTTACTCGTACCCACTAAAAGTCCTTTGGGTTCGAGTTTTATCCTACCCGAATAGAGAATACCTGTGTTCCAGAACTCTTTATGTGGAGCAACCTTTTGCTATGTGAAGGTAGATTGCGAAGGAAAGATTCATCTTTCTCACACGAAGAGCATTGACCAATATGAAGAGATCAATGTGTTCAATGGTGAAGATATGATCAGCACAAAGAAGGAAGAATTGAGTGATGAGCCAGTGTAGCACCTATAGATGGTAAGGAAGAACTGCCATGGCAATGACGCCGCAAGTTAGTTGGTGAAGCTCATCGTCAATGGAGCTGAAACTCTGACGCGTACCGAAGGGAAAGGCTACAAGATGGGAGATCAAGTTTATCAGCAAACCGTTGGAACTCAAAGTTGACCCAGAAACCTAGAAATGCCAACGTAAGGCGAGAGTGACCTGACATGTCCAAGTGAAGATTGTGGTAGAACTGGCGAACAACTAGAGCACAGAAGGATGAGGAACTAGGTTTCCGGGGGTCAAAGTGTCCTTCCAATCCAAGATTGACTAAGAGAGAGCCAATTTCATCAGCAAAGGATGATAAGGGGGGAAGCTCACACTCACTGTTATAGGGAGCATGCTTGAGAAGGAGTAGTAATTGTCTTGGTTTATGATGGAGTTACAGTCATCGTTGGGGTATGAGAGGATGTTTATATGTTGTTTATCTGTTCAAAAACCGTGTAAGCTTTACTCCTGGTAGAATAACTATGAAAAATGGTTGGATCTGATTTAGGTTCAAATTCGCCTAGTTGACCTTTTGTATTTAAGATGAAGCAGTGACCTTCCAAAGGGATGAAAGTAACTAAGGTTTGGTTTATTCCCCTTTCAAAGTTCGTAGAGAGTCTTTTTGAGTTTACTCATAATTAGAACTCTATTGGTTAAAAAGTAGGCTTTGTTAACTACTTCTGCCCACAGATTTTGAGACAAGTTATATTTTTTGAGGATGGTTCTTCCTATCTCTTATAGGGTTCTATTTTTCCTTCCTACAATCCTATTTTGTTGAGGTGTTCTGGGAGCTCGGACATAAAATTTTCCTCCAGGATCACTTCTAATCCTCATGACATATAATTCTATATGTCTGTACTTTGGTGAAAAAGGTTTTAGTTTCAATGATAATTTTATCTTTTGTCTCTTAGAAAAATAAACCATGTGTACCTAGAGTAGTCGTTTACCAGAACGAATGAATAGTATTTACCTCCTAAACTCATGGTTTGGTTAGGTCCAAATAGATTCATATCTATAAGTTCATGTAACACCTTAGGCGAATCCAACATCGACAAAGCACGAGAGAGATCCATGGTTCATGAGCAAGAAACCGACCTTAACTGTCAAGACGCGTTTTGGAGTGAAACAAAGTAGTTTTGGTGAGAACTCCGAAGTTAAACGTGCTCAGTGTGAAGTACAACAATGATAAGTGACCTTGAATTGCACCCTAAGTCAAAATCCGCGAGGGTCGAGGCAAAAGAGGAAAAAATCTTCGTCGGGAAAAGGTTCGGGATGTTACAGTTCAATTATTATTTTAGTGGTTATATCATGCTTGTTTTTGAAAGACTTTCTGATTTTTTTTTTGTCGAATTGTTTTTTTTTCTAGGACACATGTATTGCAAAAAAAATTTGGTGTTTGACCTAAATGCTAATCTGAATAGTTTTTATAAGACACTCGTGCTTACATGTGATACTCTTCTATGCGAGATCTGTTGAGTATCAGTAGTAGAATCTACCAGATATTTCTCATGTACAACACTAGTATCTACTAAATCAATTGTGAACATCCTACCTTTTTTATTTCTAGTAAGTAATATTTTTACCATCCAGTATTCTTTCATTTTTGCAGGTGTCTTTATCAAAGATTGCTTTGTTACCTTTCTCACAAAACTAGCAGATAGAAAGTAAATTGAACTTTAGACATTCCACCAACATCACATTCGACAACTTAATGTTATTTGAGGATCTGATAGACCAATACATGTGATTGAACCTTTGTTGTTATCTCCAAATGTGACTTGTCCTCCTTACTTGGTGGCAGTGTCTTAGAATTTTCTCTCATCTCCTGTAATGTGATTGGAGCAGTCACTATCCAAATACCAACTATTCTTGTTGATTTTTTCCTGCATTTTTGGTGTTTCCTTGGCCATCATTCCTGGATGATCTTGATCAATAAAGACCATATGCCCTTTATGCTCATTTTTCGAATCTGACTCATTCTAGTCTTCATCACTATAGCTCCATGTAGGCTGTAGCACCATGACCCGTTCCTTATCGAGTCTTCTATTTGGACACTTAAATATAAAGTGTCTTAGTTTTCCACACCCAAAACAAGTGATAATAGCCTTTTCGACATTTACAACATTTTTGTTCATTTCGTCTCTACTGCCATTTTTTACTGTCCTTTTTCATGTCATTTAGAGATTTATCTAGATAGGATTTTTTATTTATTCTAAACCCCAGATAACCTAGCTACTTAGAGAGCACAAAATCTACTCTTCTATTTCTTCTTCATCTTCTAACAAATGAAATTTGAGTGCTAGATCCTTCCTCTTACGAGGTTGCTCATTATCCTCAATTCTCAACACACTTTCATGAACAGTTAATGAGCCTATCAACTCACTTAACTCAAACTTAGCAAGATCTTTTGATTTTTCTATGGTCGTTACCTTTGATTTCCAAGACTTTGGTAAAGAGTTTAAAATCTTATTAACTAAGTCTGCATTAGTATAGACTTTCACAAGTCATTAAGGCAATTACTATATTTGTGAACCTTTCATACATTTCAATAATCTGACATTAGGGTTGTTACATCCTTTGGCTATAAATAGGAAAAATGAAAATAGAAGACAAGTTCCTAAAAGCAACACCCTGACACACATGTCAAATTCAACCCTTTTTCTGCAAATAATTTTAAGCATTAATTTTACTACTAAAGTTGTGGCTATTAGTACCCATTAATAATTATACATACATTATAGTCCTCCAATAATTTTAAGCATTAATTTTACTACTAAAGTACCTTGTTTCGTACCTATTTAGGTTTAAGTACCCACATTTTGTTTAAAGTTTGTCCATTGAAACTATTTTCTATGTCCCCAAAAGGCGAAAACACATCACTAAGGCCAAAACACATCAACACCTTCAAGCCCAAGAACTGTTGAAAAAGAATTGGCTCTCCGATTTCGTTCTACAGAGTTTCTTTTAACGCCTCCTGTCCAATTTCTTCGTTCTGAGCTTGAAACCACTTCTAGGTTGGTAAATTTCGTTTTCTTTTGTCTTGGTCTCGGCGGAGATACCATATCGGCAAAGGGAATGGAGAATTCCCGACAAATCTGCTTCCAGATTGCCGGCCAGTTCCACGGTGTTGAAGGGGTTTTACTGGATTGGCACAAACATCTAGGGCAGACTGTGAGGGACAAAATTGATTGCTATTGCTGGGAGATGTCACAAAATTGGAACGATGATGAATTCGATACTCTGTTGTACTCCTCGAGAAGCCTCTCCTCAAATTCCTTGGTTCTCCCTGCCTGCCGCCGCCGGAAACCTCATCGCCGTGAAAATCATGATTCCGGGAGGAAACCAAGAGGAGGCGAAATCGGAAGCTCGTCGTCGAAGAAACGCATCGCCAAAGCTATCGAAAGGCTGTCATGGACATAATCGATGAAAACTTCTTCTTTGAAATTCTCTCAGTCGTTTGGTCACCGAAATTCACTCTGCCTCTGCTTTTCCTTTTGTCTCTTCTTCGGTCTCTCAATCACATATTATCTGGCTGATGCTCTAGAGAGCCCGATTTCACCCGGTCCTTTAGCAGTCTGCAGAAACATAAAATTGTTAGATATTAGGGTGTTGGAGAGATTGACGGCATGTGGAAGAATTGACTGATCGGTCTTATTCATTTTCTGTGCTCAGACGAACGACTAATCCTCAGCGTCTCCGGCTTGCATCAACATATGTCTAGTTTTTTCACGATATTTGTTGAAATAGGCTAAAAAGGTAATAAACAAACGCATCCATAATATGTTATTCTATTCAAATTGTACACAAGAAAAAGGATCACGTGAATCATAACTATATTCAATTTATGTCTAAACTTTAAGTCGAATAATGCATTAGATTAGGGAGACCATGAGAGAAAAACATGGCCAAATATCTTAATTTTCCCACAAGTATGGCTATATACGACATAAATATTTTTTAGATACGAACTTATACCAATAGTTGGAACACGGGTTGGGTCGGGTTCTACGGGCTGTGCAATCCAAAATCCAAACCCAACCCAAAAGAAGCGGGCTGTACAAAAGAAAACTCTCGCCCAACCCAAAATCTTCGTTTTAGCGATAAATACGGATGAGTTTGTTGAGGGAAACGGTATTGTTTCCATGTAGATAGGTTGTTGGTTCATGTATGAACCGGTTAGATAGGTTAGGAGTTAACCAATGTATAGTTAGTTGAGTTGTATAGAGTCATATATAAAGGGAAAGTTGCTCCCCTGTACAGACACCTTTTCCAGTTTGTTACAATCAATCTACTGATTTCGTTGAGACTTTGACATGGTATCAGAGCCATCAGGGCATTCTTGATTTCTTTCGTCTTTTCCTAAAAGCTTTCGATCAGTTTCTTCTCTGCAACAATGGCATTTGCCAATCAGACTTCTGTCCCGCCATCGCAATCGATTCTGTCGCAATCGATTCCGTCCATTCCTCCGCTTCCGCACACCACCGCAGCTGATCTCGACTCCAACAGTCCATTCTTCATCCATCTAGCTGAGAGCCTTAGCCAACAATTGGTTTCTCCTGTTCTTGATGAAACCAATTGTTCAACCTGGCAGCGAGCTATGATTCGAGCTTTATCGACAAAGAACAAGCTGCAATTCCTCGACGGCACCATCACGAAGCCTCCTCTTGGCGGTCCTCTCCTTCGTGTCTGGTCAAGAAACAACACCTTGCTTCTTGGATGGATCCTTCGATCTGTTTCTCCAGCGATTGCTCTAGGGTTTCAATGGGTTGAAGATGCCCTAGTTTTCTGGAATCAGTTACGCGAACGATTCTCTCGCGACAACAATTTTCGCATCGCTGAGCTCCAAGAAGATCTCTTCCGCTTCAAGCAAGGCTCCCAGTCTGTAAGTGCCTACTTCACACAGATGACCACTTGTATGCATGAATTGGATAATTTCTTGCCGATTCTTCCTTGTCGATGCAATGGTCTTTGCAAATGTGGTTTAGCTATAGTGCGTCAGAATCATCAAATCAACTATGTCCTTAGGTTTGTTAGGGGTCTCAATGATTCGTATGCTGCTGCTCGTTCTCAGATTATGTTAATGAACACCATGCCTAGTCTAAACCAAGCTTTTGTGATGATCATTGAGCAAGAAAAATAGAATAGTATCCTAGCCCCACCTTCCTTGCCTGATTCAATGGCGATGTACTCTAGATGATTTCCTCCTGGTAGGAATCCCACTCATCCTCCACCAAGATCCCCTTATCCTCCTTCCTCCACTAATCCACAACCACCTCACTCTGGTAGCAACAGACCTTTCTGTACTCACTGCCACTCCTATGGTCACACTATTGATAAGTGTTACAAGCTCCATGGGTTTCTTCCTGGGTACAAAGGCAAGGCAAAGGCTCACTGTGTGTCAACAGAAGATGGTTCCTCTGATGAACCAAATCCAATTTCATTTCCACCTCAAGAGTGGATTCAGATACAAGAAACTTACCAGAAGATGACTCAGTTCATGCAGTCACAGTACTTCCAATAGCAGTCTGACCCTGCTCAGGCTTCTAGTTCCTCTCGGTCTCATCCTCCTTATAGTACTCCTACTGCTACGACTGAAATGCCAGCCTCTTATGGCCTTCCATCTTCCAGTCAGGCATGTTCCATCACCACTCATGCTCTTCCCACACCACCAGGTAAGGTCATTGTTCTTCAATCCTTTTGTATGCTAGTTGATGCGTCTCCTAAATGGATTCTTGATACGGGTGCTACTGATCATATAGTTAGTTCCCTAGATTACCTAGATAACTATAGAACTGTTCCACCTACATATGTTTACCTTTCTAATGGGGATAAAGCTTTGATTACCCATATAGGACAGTGTCATATATTTCCTTCCCTTCCCTTACATGATGTCCTTCTAGTCCCTAGTTTCACATTTAACCTAGTATCGGTAAGCAAGCTGGCAGCCAAGGTAGCACTTGGACTGACCTTTGCTAGTTCTCATTGATGTCCTTCTAGTACCTAGTTTCACATTTAACCTAGTATCGGTAAGCAAGCTGGCAGCCAAGGTAGCACTTGGACTTACCTTTGCTAGTTCTCATTGCTTACTACAGGACCTCCAATCTCTGAGGACGATTGGTATAGCTAATCTCCGAGATGGCTTATACCAACTAGATCCTCATGCTGCTAGCTTGTCTTCTCAACATAGCCTGTCACCTCCACATATATCCAACTCTGTCCAGATCTCATCTTCCCCAAAATCCAATATTGATCTCTGGCACTATCGTCTAGGACATCTACCCTATGCAAAACTACCTTTACTGCATTATATAGATCCTGCTATTACTATGAATAAGCAGTTTCATTGTTTTGTATGCCTCTGTGCAAAACAGAAACGACTACCCTTTCCTATTAGTCAAACTGTATCTGCTCAATGTTTTGATCTTTTAGATATTGATATATGGGGTGCAGCTTCCATTGCTTCTAATTCTGGCCATTTATATTTCCTACCAGTAGTTGATGATTACTCTAGGCATACATGAATCTTTCTCATGAAATCAAAATCAGATGTTAGACCTTTGTTAAAATCCTTTTACACGTTTATTTTAACACAATTTAATAAGAAAATCAAGTCCATAAGAACTGATAATGGTCAAGAATTCTATATAGTGATTTTTACACTGAAACTGGTATTTTGCATCAACGTACTTGTGTTCAAACATCTCAACAAAATGGAATTGTTGAACGAAAACACCAACATCTACTTGCCATGACACGAGCATTACTTTTTCATCTAGATTTTAAGTAAAATCGAAAATGAGGTAGAATAGAAATCGTAGATTAAAATCGTAAAATCGTAAAATTTTAAGGTTTATATTAAAATAAATACTTAAAACACTAGATAGTAATAAAAATGCATATCTTGAATAACAATCAACCACATAAAGCATTATTACTTCCCAAGATAAGTTTGTTTGCTAAACAAACACAACTAATCCATATATTTTTCTTGTACATAATAGAAACACACAAATAAGAAACCTGAAACATTATAGATATCACTGTTAATTAATTGTTAGGATCAACATTAACATCACTTACACATAATCGTCATCATCCTCAACCTCACCCTCACTCTCATTGTTTTTATTTGTTTAAGGACTAATATCATTACTCTTATGATCACTTGAAGTACTTTCACCATTAACCATATTTCCTTGATTACCATCATCTGGAAAAGATAACTCATTGATTGATTCATTCCCTTCTTAATTGATAAAAGGTCGGGTTAGTGGTGCTGAAGGATTGGGAGATGAACAAAAGCTTGCAATGTAATGGAGATTTGGATTATTGTGAGGGTGGTGGGAACAAACTACAAGCTAATTGGGAGGGTGGAAGATATCGTTAATGGAAGGAGTTGGGCGCCGACGTGCGAAAGAGGAAGATACGAGAAAGAGAATGAAAATAAATTGAGGGTTAACTATCAGGTTGGGGTTGTGTTGTTCATTATGTTGGGTTGGGGAAAGTAAATTTGACTCGGTTCATGGGCATAACCCAACTTGACCGGCCTAATTTTGATCCAATTGATATGAACCTTGAAATCGTACAAAATCGTAGAAATCGTAGATTTTATGGATTTTAGAGTTTGAAATTGGGATTTTATGGGATTTTAAGGTTCAAAGATTTTACAGTAAAATCAGGATCGGAACCCATATGTAAGATCGTAAAATCGTAAGATTTTAAGATTAAAATCGGAATTTTGACTACATTGCATGCAGTCATTCATTCTGTTCATCTCATTAATCGTCTTCCTTCTCCACTTTTAGCCAATAAGAGTCCCTATGAATTACTACATAATCAGTCCCCTAGCTATTCTCATCTTAGGGTGTTTGGTTCCCTCTACTATGCTTCCACATTGTCTCATAATAGATCTAAATTATCTCCACGAGCTATTCCTAGTGTTTTCTTAGGTTATGTTATAGGAACAAAAGGATATAAACTTCTTAATATCCAAACCAAAGAGATTTTCATATCCCGAGATGTAACTTTCCATGAGAACATCTTCCCCTTTGCTTCTCCTCATCCCACTGATACTTCTCCATTCCCCACTACTACAACTGATTTATCCACCATCATTTCATTTGACACACCCCTCTATTTACACACTAGTATTCCTCCCCCTCCATCCCATCCCACTGTTGACATCATTCCCCAACCGTCACCTACTCCCCTCCCACAACCAAAAGAACCACAGTTATGCAGATCAACAAGACAGAGCAATATTCCATCTTACCTCTCCAGCTATCACCATAACCTCAAAACCACTGCCAATGCTTGTCAATCTGCAACTAACTCCCACTGTAAGTATCCTCTACAATCTGTTCTATCTTATTCTGACTTATCACCCACATATATGCACTTTGAATTAGCAATCATGCAAATTAAAGAACCTAAAACTTATAAGCAAGTTATCAAAAATCCAGAATGTGTTAAAGCTGTACTCCTAGAACTTAAAGCTCTTATAGATACTAAAACCTGGCAATTAGTGGACCTGCCTCCTGGTAAGATCCCAATAGGCTGCAAATGGGTATTTAAAGTAAAATACAAGTCTGATGGATCCATAGAAAGGTTTAAGGCTAGGTTAGTTGCCAAAGGTTATACCAAAACCTATGGCATAGATTATTTTGATACTTTCAGTCTTGTAGCTAAGATAACTACAATAAGGGTTCTACTCACTTTAGCTGCTATTAACAACTGGCATCTTCACCAGTTAGACGTTAATACAACCTTTTTACATGGAGACCTTGATGAAGAGGTCTACATGGTTCTACCCCCTGGCCTAACAACTGACCCTACTGATGCAAACAAGGTTTGCAAGTCTATATGGCTTGAAACAAGCCAGTAGACAGTGGTTTCTCAAGCTGACATCCACACTTATTTCTATTGGTTATACACAGTCTAAATCAGATTATTCCTTGTTTATTAAAAACAAACCCAATTCCTACACTGTTTTGCTTGTATAGTCATATATAAAGGGAAAGTTGCTCCCCTGTACAGACACCTTTTCCAGTTTGTTACAATCAATCTACTGATTTCGTTGAGACTTTGACAGAGTTGGATCGAGTTGAACGGGTGGGTAGGTTTACGGGTGTGTTTCTTTACGTGTTCACCCTACTCGTGCCACATAACTAACACCTTTTTCTTAGGGGTGTTCAAACGGATTGGTTACCATGGTAACCATATTAACCAGTATTATTCAATTAATTTGGTTTGGTTAATTTGGATAATTGGTTTGGTTAAACAATTTATCTTATTTGGTTTAGGTGGTTTGGTTTGGTTTCAACACTGCTAACCAATGAAACCAATTAACCAATTAATGATACACCTAATATACAAAATTATTTATACTTCCATGCAACCAACCAAACCAAACTTTCGTGATTTCCTATTTTATTTCCTTGTGCACAACAAACCAAAACATTATGGTTCAAAAATTAAATGGGTCTGCCTATTTACTAAACCAAAACATTTGGGACATCTACTAGATTTTAGGATTATGTCCAATATAATGTTTTCATGTAATGTTATGTTATTTGGTTAATCCAATTATCCGATAAACCAAACCAATTAAACTTTGGTTTGGTTAATTTGATTTTCGTGTTAACTTGGATGGTTTGGTTAAGACATTTTATTCTATGGTTAATAAAATTTAGGCTTAATTGGTTTGGTTATTACTATGGTAACCATTTGAACACACCTACTTTTTCTGGCTTGTTTATGCTCTTTCGCATTTACCAGGTCAAGGGGTGGCAAAATTGGCCGACTAATACGTGTAAATACAAGTGAGCGAGAGAAAGCAGAAAGAGTTGGAAACTGTGGAACTGGAGGTTGATTAAGCCAAGGCGGGAAAAGCGCACGAGAATGACACCAAAGATGAGCCAAAAGCCCAAAAGTCATTCATTGGCTATTGGGGTTGGACCTGCCCGGTTGCCGTCCAGCTTCACAGCCTGGATACTGGAGGAGTGGAAGAATCTTGCTGAAATATCCGTGGAGGCCAAATACAACAAGTGCACAGCTTTTTGGCGGTGGTGGGTCTCATCTGCTCACCTCCTCTGTTTCTGTCCTTTACCAGACATCGGACCGAGCTCGTGGGAACGAACTGGGAGAAGGAAAGGAAGTACAAGTACACAGCTTTTTGGCGCATAAATACACTCCACGGTTCAACCCTGGGTAGAAAACGTGCGGAAACCACACTGCTGGCTTTACGTGTCAACTAATCCTTCCTCTCTGTTTCTTCTTCCTTCTACTCCATTCCTTCCTTCGTTCCCCCCTTATTCATCTCCAATATTCCATCCACGCCTCTTCCCTTCGTTCCCTTCTTTCTTCCAGAAGATTCATCCCATACCCACCTAAAACTTCAAAACTTGATTTTCCCCCAATTCTTGGGGTTCAATCAGAATTCCCAGATAGAGAGTGTTCCGCTTTTGTTGAATTGGGTAGCTGGAGAGCTTGGGGGGAAATGGAAGTGGTGCTAGCTTCATCGCATCTTTCTGTTAATTCGCGATGTGGGTTGACTTCTTTCCAGCTTTCCCGCTCGCGCCGAATCAGCCCTGTTCTGGCGTTTACTTCCACCAGTAACTGTATAGCTTCTTCTTCTTCTTCTTCTTCCTCTTGTTTTGGGATTTCCATTTCTCATAAGCACCATCGGAGTAATCCCTTCTCTTTGAGAAGCTCTCGTTTGCGTAAGAAAGGTAGAATCTTCACCGTTTCTGCTGTGTTCGAGAGGTTTACGGAGCGGGCAATAAAGGCGGTGATTTTTTCCCAGAGAGAAGCTAGAGCCATGGGGAAGAACATGGTTTCTGCCCAGCACCTCTTGCTTGGTCTAGTTTCCGAGGATCGAGACCCCGATGGCTTTCTTGGCTCTGGAATCACCATTGACAAAGCTAGAGAAGTTGTTAGTGACATTTGGCACAACGGTACCGATGCTGAGGATCCAAGTTCTACTAGGACGGAGAAGGGCGTCAAGTCCTCGACGGACATGCCCTTTTCGACTAGTACCAAACTGGTTTTCGAGGCTGCTATTGAGTATTCCAGGACCATGAAGCATAAGTTCATTGCTCCCGAGCATATAGCCATTGGGTTGCTGACGGTTGATGATGGAAGCGCAGGTCGGGTCCTTAAGAGGTACTTGTTTTCCCTTTCTCAATCATTTGGTAACCCATGTTTTTGGTTTGGTTGAAGTTTTGATTGAATTTTTTCCCTTGATTCAATTGATAGTAACATGATAGGTGTTATAGACAAGAAGAAAATAGCACGGCTCAGTTCTTACAATGGTTACTAGTAGAAATGTTTGAAACTAGAGAATGGTGATTGCATAATGAGTCTGCTTTTGCTCTATATGCTCCCGAAAAAGCTGTTGGAAAGGATGTGCATATCGAATTTTGTATTCATGGAAACTTCCATCAATGTGACTCCAGATTGGGGGCAAATGCAAATCAGTTGGCAGCTGTAGCAGTAACCAAACTGCAAGGGGAGTTAGCCAAGGAAGGAAGAGAAGAACCATCTGTATCCAAAGGAACTCGCGAGAAACCTCTATCTCGTAAAGCTATTGCTTTAAGATCGTCTGAAAAAGCTAAGGGTAAGAAGTCAACTTGCTGCTGGTCATCTTTCCTTCTTTCTTTCAAGCTCCGAGGAATCACGCTTTGTCTTCGACTTTTGTTTCATAGAGAAAAGTGCTCTAGCCCAATTCTGTGTAGATATTACCTCTCGTGCTGTTGAAGGACTCATTGATCCTGTCATTGGGCGCGAGAAAGAAATTCAAAGAATTATTCAAGTACTTTGCCGCAGAACCAAAAATAATCCAATTCTTCTTGGTGAAAGTGGAGTTGGCAAAACAGCCATTGCTGAAGGACTAGGAATCAAGATTGCGCAGGCTGAAGTTCCTACTTTCCTTTTAGTATGTGTATCTGTTCCTAATTTTGGTTCCTATTCTTGTTCTTATGGCTTCTAGCTTCAGTTACTTGATCTTTCTCCTTTTATGTCCTCCAAATATGGTGTTAATTGAGCTTTCATGTCATCAACAGGGAAAGCGTGTCATGTCTTTGGATATTGGACTATTAATTGCTGGTGCAAAGGAAAGGGGAGAACTAGAGTCACGTGTTACCACCTTAATCAAAGAGATACAGAAAGAAGGTGGTTTTTCTGTTCTGCCTTTGGGAATTTGTTGTGATCCAGAGCTGTCTTTCTTCTTAATATCAAAGTACTTCTACTGCAGGCAATATAATTCTCTTCATTGATGAAGTCCATACCCTTGTTGGGACGGGTACAGTTGGACGAGGAAGCAAGGGGAATGGCCTGGACATTGCTAATCTATTGAAGCCAGCTCTTGGAAGAGGTGAATTACAGGTAAAGTCTTCATTGCTTTGTTGATTGCTATTACGCTAATATCTGTAAATATCTATACATGTGGTATTGCTTGCTTTCCCCTGGATGGTTGGTTGCCTCGCAAGAAACCATTTGATTCAAACTGTTGTGGAAGACTTGCAACAGTTCGCTGGCATTAACCAAGATCTGCTACAAAAAATATAACGAATTGAAATATTGACTACATATGATACATTTATGGTTGGAGGACACATTTATCTGTTTGAACTGAGGAGTGATCTTTAAATTGAAATTTTCTGCTCACTCTGTTTTCTGGGAACGTTTGATCACTGATTTTACTCTAAAAAATAAGTGTCAGTTTGAATATGGGATTCTGGATCCAAAAATAGAATTGTCCAGAACAATCTTTTTTATGAGCCCAAATGAGGGAGAAATGGAGTTAAACCCACAATTTGTCACAATCCTTTTACCATCTAAGAATATGGTTATGGCTGCAGTGAATTATCATGACAGCATGCATCTCATGAGTAGTATGCTTGCAGTTGCCAGTGGAATCCAACCAAAGTATTGGGGCGGTCTATTAAATCAGTAGATTTATTTTGGAATAGCATGCAAATGCCCAGATTCTCTTTTCATCTACTTGCCGTTCTACATTCTTTAGTAAATAATAGCTTGTATGATTCTTATGCTTTGCTTTCAGAATAAACTGGATGTTCCCTAGCCTCCTAGTGCTAACATAAGTTCCTCTTGTACCTAATATGTCTCTTGGAGCTTTACTTATGTCCCTCATGTTAAACCATTATGTATATATCATGCAGTGTATTGCATCCACAACTATGGATGAGCACAGGACATATATTGAAAGTGATAAGGCATTGGCGAGAAGGTTCCAGCCTGTATTGATTAATGAACCAAGCGAGGTTGGTCTCATACATGTTCTCTTATTTGCTTTCATGGCTCATAGACAAGCTCATCTGCCACTAACTTCTTATTTTGCTATGATGTGGCTCTAACTATTCAGGAGGATGCTGTGATGATTTTGTTGGGCTTGCGCCAAAAATACGAGGCCCATCACAACTGTAGATATACATTGGAAGCAATAAATGCAGCTGTTCACCTCTCAGCAAGATATATTGCAGACAGATTTCTTCCCGATAAAGCCATTGATCTCATTGACGAGGCAGGTAGCAGGGCCCGTATCGAAGCTTATAGGAAGAAGAAAGAACAACAGACTGGTATACTTTCGAAGTCGCCAAGTGATTATTGGCAGGAAATCAGAACTGTTGAGGCCATGCATCAAGTGGTATGAATGAACTTTTCCAAATAAAACCTCAGCACTGCTTAATCTGGTAGTGGTAACGAATTCGCTGATGTAGCTCGACTTTGCAGGTTGTTGCAAGTAAGCCAAGCATCGATGATAGTGATTCAAGCATCGAGGACTCTGGAGACATCATCTTAGAGACGCCTCCACCTTCTGCATCTGCTGATGATGAGTACGGTCTTTTGAGCCCCAATGACATGCTTTAAGACTTCCATCTTTTTCCCAATCGTTTTGTTCTAACCAGATTTTCTGAATGTGACTCTTGTTTTCAGTCCCATGGTAGTGGGGCTTAATGACATTGCCTCGGTTGCTTCACTCTGGTCAGGAATTCCTGTTCAGCAGCTTACTGCTGATGAAAGGATTGCTCTGGTGGGTCTTGAGGAACAACTTAGAAACAGGGTTGTTGGCCAAGACGAGGCTGTTCTTGCGATATCTAGAGCTGTCAAGAGGTCGCGCGTGGGGCTCAAAGATCCTGATAGGCCAATAGCGGCCATGCTTTTCTGTGGCCCTACTGGTGTCGGGAAAACTGAGCTAACGAAAGCATTGGCTGCATGCTATTTTGGAACGGTGAGGCTTATTGTTCATTTGAACGTCCTCTGACATTTTGCTTTTGGCTAACCGTTTGATGATTGAAGTTTAGATGATAATGTATGTATATGTGTATGTGGCAGGAGTCAGCCATGCTGAGATTGGACATGAGTGAATATATGGAGCGACACACAGTGAGCAAACTAATAGGGGCACCCCCAGGTTATGTTGGTTATGGCGAGGGAGGGACTCTGACAGAAGCTATAAGAAGACGACCTTTCACTTTGGTTCTACTCGACGAGATAGAGAAAGCCCACCCAGATATATTTAACATCCTCCTCCAAGTGTTTGAAGATGGCCACCTCACAGATTCTCAGGTTTCTTAGCATACTTTCAGGATTATTGACAGACACGCATGGTTTTGCGTTCTGCTAAATTCTCATCTTGGAACGGATGTCTGTGTGTGTTTGGCAGGGCCGCAAAGTGTCATTCAAGAATGCGTTGATAGTTATGACCTCTAACATCGGGTCTTCTGCCATTGCAAAAGGCGGACGTACTTCCATCGGCTTTATACTGTCAGATGACGAATCTGCTTCTTATGCTGGAATGAAGGCCTTAGTACTGGAGGAACTCAAGTCATATTTCCGCCCCGAGTTACTGAACAGAATAGATGAAATGGTTGTATTCCGTCCTCTCGAAAAGAATCAGGTTCGTCCCCACGGCCCATTTCCCATCTAAAAGTAGTAGCATAACAATGCATACATTACTCGTCTCGGACGCCCTAAAATTGTCTGCTGTTATTTATCAACTGTTTTCAGATGCTAAAGATTGTGAATATGATGCTGCAAGAAGTTAAAGGAAGGCTGATCTCTCTTGGAATCGGGTTGGAGGTATCGGAATCAATCAAGGATCTGGTTTGCAAGCAAGGGTATGACCCAGCTTATGGCGCCAGGCCGCTCAGGCGAGCAGTCACTCACATCATAGAGAACCCTCTGAGTGAAGCCTTGCTTGGTGGAGAGTTCAAGCCAGGTGACACAGCTAGCATTGATGTAGATGTCACCGGGAATCCGGTCGTTGTGAACCGGACTTCTGACCGGAGTGTCCACTTAACAGACACAACTACGCTCTTGTAATTAGTCGGTGTATTATATGTAGGAAAAGTTCATCTAGTGATACGACTGTGTATATAACGAACGAGCTTTGGTTAAGGCCAGATTCATTCACGCAATCGCAGCAATTGGCGGATTCGATTTCCAAGTGTATCTAAAAAGCATTTGAACATTGGCCAACCGTAACTATACTTCATTGCATTTGATGCTCCAATTTTTTTTTTACGATGTTATCAATCTTTCTTGGACAAAATAGCTGGTTATCCTGATCGGAGAAGAGTCATATGAATATATGAATGTACCCTCCGTCGCCTCCCTTCTTCGTGGGTTGGGTTGCTTGAGGCCTAAGTAACCTCTTGTTGCAATTGGATCCACGTCGGCTGGTTTTGAATGAACCCGTTTGGTGTCCATCTTCGATCCTTGCTTCAGTGTGGGCTTATTAGTCTACTCTATTGGTTCCTCTTGGACTCCATAGGACTTCTTCTTCACTAACTTTCATCTTATGGACAAAATACCTCTTGATCTTTCCAAATCTGCTCCTTTGGACCTCCACAACCTTTCAAGGCTTGGTCCAAAAATTTTTAAATTGCGTTTTATCTTGAAAAATATACAAAAAAAAAAGCATAAAATAATACAAACAAAACCTAGGTCAATAAAAGCTCATTGATCAAATAGTTACGAAATTTATAGAAAACTAAGTAAAATCTCCTAAAGGTGCATTGGTAGAACGAGAAAATGTATCAAATATGATAGTGATAAACACTATAAACGAAGTGTTATCAGGTGATCATTTGAGAGGGTTTGTCGGCGGTGGAGTTTGAAATCCCAAATCTATGAATCCTAATCTTTATCCCGAGAAATCTCTAATTTGTCAATCGTAATCGCGTCGTTTGTGTATGTGGTTTGAGTTTGGTTAGTGGATGCTGAAAATCGACCTCGTCGCCTACGACCTTGAAACCCGCCAACGAATTTTCCTCCCCCCTCCTCAGCCGATCTCCCGAGCCTATAAATTTACAAACTTCCCCATCGCACACGAAGAGTTACGCATCGGCTTGAGGCTTAACGACAAGGGGTACAAGGACCTGTTCGAGGTGCAGAGCAACATTGAGAATTCAAGGTTGAAAAGGTGGAAGTGGTATGAGAAGGGGTCTGGGAAGAGTTTGGAGGAAGCTGAAAAGGTGGGGGAGATGATAAATTTGTTTTTATTTAATTGAATTAAAATAAAGATAAGTGAATGAAAAAAATAATATTATTAAAGTTATTAACGAAATGACTATTTTAATATATTTTTGAAAAGCGACTGTTATTCATTAGGAAAAAAGATGTCATGATTGCAAAATTCTCATGGTTGAGAATATATGTACTTCAAATCTGTTATATTGGTTATCAAAATTTCATGGTAGTTTGTCGTACAAATCAAACAAAATCGAATGACATGGTGCATAGATGTGGTTTTATACTAAACTAGTTTTTATTTCCCACGCTTCACGCTGGGACTTCAATGAACTAATGACATTTTATTGGATATTCATGTTTTATGATTACATAATGGCTGGTAAGTGAGGTTAGACTATTCGAAGTACATACATTATTCAAAAATTAAACACATCGCATTTGACAACCCAAGTCACCTACACATAGATTATACACATTCCAAATATTCTGAAAGACAACATAGACCGTAAATATAGCAACCTGTCAGAGAAAGAAGCACAAAACTCCCAACTGTTCTGGAAAAAGATCCGAAAGCACATTAAGCAAGGAAGCATTATAAGCAAAGACACTAATTGCCAACGTTCATCACCATGCAAAACATAGTTCCATAACCAACAACTTCACACTTGAAAAAGATCTTTCACCTGCAAAAGAAAGAAGAAATGAAAAGAGCAAATCCTGCAATGCCTACTACAAACAGGAATTTAAAAGGCACAAGTGTACTGTAAAGTGCCAAATGTCTATTATGGATGGACTTGGTTGAAAGGCCTCTCCCCACCCTCAACTTTGCTCAACTTACATTGTGTTTGCAACAACAAATATGCTAGCATAAGAGAGAATGAAGGTGAACTATATAATGGTGTCTGTGTAGGCATCATTGCTAATTAAGAGAACCTAAGCAAAATGATAACTCTGATTTAATTCAATCCTCGAGTCATATGATTTCAGTTACTACCCACACCTGGATCATGGAACTACCTATAACTCAATAGTCCAAATGATGGCTCACGAAGTAATCCTAGAACAACAGAATCGCCAAAGGCTAGGCAAACATCACAAAACAGAGATTGCACAACAGTTCCTTGTATCTTTGCTTCAAGTACATGATAAAGATGGACTAATTCCATTTCTTACCCCATGGTGGATCATGCCAAAATCAGCCGCTGTTGTAAACCATGTACAGATCATCATAGAAGGAACAGAAGAGTCTAGGCATGTTGGTTAAATACCAGACTCCAAACAACAGCTTGTTCCTGCTATATAAGATAGAAAGAAGAGTGAAAAACTACAGAAACGTAACACTAAACAGAAAAGGAACATAAATTAAATACTTAAAGCAAACAAAAATCAAATCATGTAATGGGTGAGTGCCAAAAGTGAAAAGGAAACTTATTGATTGAGTTACAAATCCTTAACTTCCTCGTTGCTGTAATAAGTCCCAAATTGGCTTCAGGTTGGAGGTGCTTGGTCACTCAGGATTCTCTCTTCACCTCTCACTCATGTTGACCACCAGAGAGCTGTATATATCCAATCTATTATATCTGCCCTATCTATCAAAGAGACAGCTTCTGGTAGGATTTCTCAATCTATTTGGTTGATTTGGGTTCATCGTCCTACACACTGCCAAGACCACCATGGATCAGCAGTAGAAGTATATGTTGATCGAAACACGATACTCCCGTCGCCCACCTCACAGATCGGGGAAGATGAGGAAAATAGTTAGATACACCCAAAAAATAAATAAAAACAGAGAATCGAGATGACTTACTGAAGGGATTCTTGATGATATTGAAGTTCTTGAACCCGACGCTATATCGCCTCACTCGTCAAAAGGATGGAAGAAATGACTTGGATTGCGACAACTTTGTCACAACCTTCACCATATGTTAACATCTGAAAACCATTTACCTATAATGGCTCGTCTCTTTCTTTTCGCGGTAGTTACAGTAACTCCGCCACTGATCATTTAAGCAAAAGAAGTTGTAAACGTTGAAATCGTCCCACAAAAAATGAAGCAAGAACAATATAAAAACCTAAAGGAAGTGAATACATCAATACCTTGGTCGCCGCGAGATTTCGGATACCCACATCATTGTTGAACCTTCAAATGGCAGACCCATCATTGAGCCCACCAAAATTCTTGATAGAAATGTGTGCAATTCTGGTCTGATTATCAACTTCCCCCGTCGTCGAAATCCTAGCAAAAAGAATATGGCCAAGTGCATTAGAAAAGACTACAAATCTTTAAAAAGAGGGATATAAGAGGATGGAATTATAAAGTCATGAAGTAGAAACCGAACCAAGCTTTTGTCCATGGAAGGAAGTATAGAGAATCCTTTCGCAGTCTATTGCAGAGTACTCATACAAAAGTTGTTCGAAGTTCCCGCTTTCTTATCTGAAATCCCATATCTTTTCTCTTGGCGTCGAATACCAGCTGGGAAATCAAAAGCAATGGCAAATAATAGATATGTTAACTCCAGGTAGAAGCAAAACAAACCTAAAGCCCAAAAAAACAGAGAAGGTGTTCGCAACACATTAAAAGGCCACAAGACCACCACCGGCTCGAAAACAACACAGTAAGGAACGAAATCGTTGTCCCGACCTGAAATAGAGAAAAAAGAGATTCTACGATCCAAAGCTCCGCATTCATGGGAGAGAGGGATTCTCGCAGCTATCTCATCCGCCAGCTGGTGGTCCAGCACCTGCGACCAAGATGATGATGCTCGGGCAGTGAATTGAAGAACAACAAAGCTTGGCTCGATCAGTGAAGTAACAGTTCCATGAGCGAGATGGGAAGAGAGAATTTCAAAAGAGGAGAATGGATGCTTTCCATTCTAAACTGGATATAAAGAGAGAGTTGCTTTTTTTAATAAAGGAAAAATATGTGGCCGAGAAAGAAAGAACAGAGAAAAAGTAGACAGTAGACTTTTTCGCCTCTCTGTGTGCATTGAACAGCGCGACAGCGAGTCTCTCAAGGAACATACTGCAACTCACTCTTTCACCCTCTCTATTCACGTCAAACTCAGATCTCACACTCTTTCTGCAGCTCTGGTCATGTCAAGCAAAATGTGAACCCTAAAGTAGCAGTAGCTTTCTCTCTGGTTTGCCGAGTGACCAATGCGTGTAAGGTGGACGGAGAGGACAGCCAACCAGAAGGCAAACCAGAGCTCTAAAGCAACTGAACTACAAAGATCCCATTAGGAACCAAAGAGATACACCATGTGCCCGCCCACACCCGAGCCCCTTCCCAGTGGAAACAGTAATTATGAGTCACTAAGCACAGTAAAAGGTCTCTTGGGCTACAGTAAATGGGGATGTTGGGGGATTTCTTTTTTCAATGTTTTACCATTTTTTTAGAAAGGCATGGCGGACTATACAATTATATTTCGGTTACCTCATGACACATAGATCTCCTTATAAAAATCTTCACCTTGTATAGCGGTTATATTCAATAGAGGTACGAAATTAAATAGACTAGCAAATGCCTACTCGCTATCGCTTCGCGTATCACAAAGATAAATATTTTAAAGAGTAATAATTTTAATGTTGATCCAAAAGTGAAAGTAATCTTATTTCATTCATAATCATTCTTTTCATAGGTTAGTTATTTACAATAGCATATGTTCGATGAACTTGCATAAGGTAGAGGGGTTGTCGAATAAATTACTTATGTTTAAACTTCTTTCATGACGCTAATGTTTTAATTTGTATGGTTTTTTGTTTTTTTTTGTTTGTTTGTTTGAGGTAATCGTGATTTTCCTTTATGAATTGTTTGGATTGATTGCGGATTTGAGGAGGTTCAACTCGCATTGATCGGTCAAATTAGGTTGGATACTCACCTTCAATTATCTTTCTCAAACACAAAGTTCTTTGTCAAATGGGGTTTGAGGAGGTTCAACTGCCATGACACCTGCATGTCTGTAGGTAACGTACTGCGGTCGAATCAACACAAAAAGAGGGTAAAGCTAGAGAGCTGATCATTATATCACGAAAACAAACAGAACCATGCAAAGTTCCTACCTGACAGTTACTGAGATCACCCACAATTTGATTGATGGTGATACACAGGTAGCAGAGCATTTGATTCAGATTGCCTACTAGGCTTTCCCTAAAATTAAAACTAGCCTGCATGGGCTCTTCCATTTGGTCCCTTAGCTTTCTGTCAGGCCATGGAACATTCCACTACCTGCAAAACTAATGGATTGAACCCAACCACAAAATCACCTCCGAAACCCCATTTGGCAAAGAAGTTTGTTTTTCCGATGAGGATAAACTCTTGGAATATGACTTTTCAACGAGCAATTGCAAAGATGAGATAAACTTTCCATGAAGCTGCTGAGGTTCTCCATCTCATTGCTGAGAGGACTTGAACTTTGCTTCATCAAGGCAAACTCCATAGTTACCCCATCATCTGCAGCGTCCTGTTTAAGAACGAAGCTTAAAAGCGATATCATTTGGTGGAGTGAACAACAAGGAAAAAAATCAAAAAGACGGCTATTTGCCATTTTGCCTCACCATAATAGTACTCTTAATCATAGATCTTCTCAATAAAAGTCACATGTGTTAAATTAATTGCAATGCACATTTTTTACATTCAAATCGAATTTTCAAAGAAATTAATACAAGATACAATCGAGAGAGGTCCTCGAGTCGCCCGGCAGGCAGGCAGGCTAGGTAATCACGCCGCCACTCATCTCCAAAGCGGCGACGGATGATTTAATTCTGCTGACAAGCTTCTCCATCACGTCTCCCTCATCCTGAAGGAACATGGCGTCAGCAATCCTGACCACGCCAGGATTCTGACTGTTCAGAACCGAGAAGATCACCGCCTTCTCGTACCCAGCATTCAAGCAGAAATGCAGCAGCGCCCGCGGGAACAGAAACACATCTCCGGCCTTGAGCGTCTTCTGGAACAGCTGGTTCTGCGTATCCACGAACCCTACCAGCACGACGCCCTTGCTGACGAACACAATCTCCGATGCCCTCGGGTGGGAGTGGGGGATCTGCAGACCGTCCACGTCGAGGTCGGTCCTGGATGTGGCTAACCCAAGTGTGTTCAGGCCAGGGAAGTCCAAGGCCGTGACCAGGGTCAGCGCGGAGCGAAGGAAGTTGTCGGTGTTGCCTGGGCGGTCGAGCTTCGAGGACTTGAAATCCGAAGCAGAGACGTTTGCAGGATTCTTGCAAGGGTACCCATTGATGAAGATCCCCTGTTTTGCAGTTGGAGCTGTCGGGCAGGTGTCCTGAAGATTGGACTCTTCTGATGAGCAGACCGTGATCAGAGTGCATAAAGAAATGCAGAGGGTAAGGGAAGATTTCATTGTTTTGGGCTGGTCTTGATCTTGTAAGTTCAATCCTGAGTATTTCCTTTGATGTTCTTGTATATATAATGCACTTGGAAGATCATTTTGACGCTTGGAGTTCACTACTGGGGTTGGAAGTGGATTATCCTGTAAGAAGGGCGTTGCTTGGAAGCAAGCCAAGATAAAGCCAGGTTTTTAATAGACTTAGATTCCTGATGTTCAAAGATTGTTATTCCCCACTGATACTGCTCTTTGATCTACCAGTCGCTGTCAGGAGCTTGAAAATTTGCCAGAATCCCTAGCTTTTACTTGCCATATGAGGGAAGCAAAATAGCAACTAGGTTTCATTGAATGCGACTCATAACTTGAAGTAGCAACATTGTAGAAGACTTTTCAATGCTCTGTTCACTTCATTTGTAAAAGGTGATTAAGATAAACCCTGTGGAATATATTTTAAAGCCATGATGTCCATTTCCTGGGTCACCTTTGTACTTTGTTGGAATTGTACTCAATCCTTGCCTTTACTTTCATCCCAAAACTGCGGTAACACGAGTATTTCCTCCATTGGCTGTGTAAATCAGCAGCAAAATTCCAACTGGTAACTTGACATAGGCAAAATATGAGTCAGAAGTAAATGAGTTCTGTTCAAATGACAACAGTTTGACTAATCATCTACACTCCTCTTGCTTTAATGGAAGTTCATCAACACATCAAGGTCACAAGTAAGAAACCAAAGCCAAGCTAAAAACATGATACGCTTAGGACGTAAACCATACCCACTAAAAGTGCTAATTTGATTCTGCAGCACCATTTTCGGTGGGAAAATCATTCTTATCCGAGTCCTGCAAGCAAGTTCTGGGAGAGTGTTCATCTGGGTTGGTAAGGATCTCAGAGATAAACTTTATCAACGAGCACAGCCCTCCTAAGAAGTTGTGATCAATAACACCGTTGCCTTCAGTGACATGAGCAAAGTCGACGAGCTTGACTTCAGCAGCAGTACTCCCTCCTTCCTTTGGCCCAAGTAACTTCTTCTCGTACAGCATGAGAACCGAGCAAGAATTGAAATGATAGGTGGTCTGATCCTCAAACCATGCCTTCAGCTCCAGCAACTGGGCCAAGATACCAGTAGAACCGCCATAAACACTTGAAGCATAACAACAATCTGGGTTAGAATCCAGGTCCATAGATGGATCGGAAGAAACAAACTGTTTAAGAACCAACCTAACTTTATCACCAGTTACCCTCTTAACAACTTTCCTCTCAGGCTTCCAAACTTCAGATTCTTTGTTACCATATACCTGCAACCCGGATACCCTAAACCCCAGAGACAAACTGCTGGTTTCCCTATCTTTCTTAAAGCACCTTTGAATGTAGTCCTCAGAAGCCTGTGGGTACCATGTTCTTGAACCGATCTTAATATCCATGACGCAGGGTTTGGAGTGACCTGAAGTGATATCTTCTAAGACAAGGTGGGGTTTCCTGCCAGATCCATCAGATGCCTCTACAAGTTGAGTGCCATGGAAGACCGGGAAGAACCTCCTGATGTGTTCTGGAATCCTTGTGTTGGAAGAAAATGACGTGTAGAATGACATTTCCTTGGAGCCACGTTCATCACTCTGCAGAGGTTTGTAGAAGCGCCCTGAATCATCTATGAGGGGACCCAGGTGCCCGTCGAGGGCTTGATGGCCAGCAACCTGATGCTCTGGAACCTTAAGCATGGTGCGTCTGAAGGAGAGGAAACAAGTGGGGAATCTTCAACTGATCTTTTATCTGCCTCGAGAAGATGGTAAATATCAAAATAAGAAGCCTGCAATTAACCACCGCGACATTAAAAAATCATGCCCCCCAGCTACTTGACATAATAGAATAACATAATATATGATAAGGGCAAAGAAGGATCCAATCAGCCAGGCTACCATAAAAAAAAAAAAAAGCTATCCTTTCATTATCTGCATTCGAAAAGTTGCTAATATCAAAATCAAGTCCTGAGAATGGCAACATGTAAAAGCAGCCAGCTTTTTTAATTAGCAACACTAAAAGAAACAGAATCTTGCCATCACTTTCTAAACAAAGAGTAAGTTACATAATGAACAGAGCAAAGCAGAGAGAGAGAGATCCCAAATGCCCAAAGTTCATAAGTACCGTGGCAATCTCAGATTCTCAGTGCTATCAAAACAGGCCAAAGTAAATGGGAATTGCGCAAATGTTTGAAATCGTTCCCAGTAAGAGTCAAACCACATTCTTCGAAAGCTACTTTCCACTAACATGATTGTGACAGCAGATAAAGCGAAAATCGCACATTCCCTTTTTTAGTGCAGAATCAAGAACCACATTCTAGTCTAGTTGCATTTTGAGATTTAACAAACCTACTCGCCCATTTAGCAAACCCCCGCAAGGGCACCGACAATTGCTGGGAAACCGATTAAGAACAATGGCAATTGGCAGCCCCAGGCCCTTTAGATCCCGGGCAAAATACGCAGAGCGACAGATTTAAACCACAAACAAATATATCCTCAAAACCCCCGATTTGCAGTCCATCAAGAAACTAGACAAACATACCTCTACCGCCACTGCGCGCGAAAGGCTTGAAAAGCTCTACGGAGACAATCGTGTACAGAGCTACTTACCCTCCAGAAAGAATCGGGTAGTCTTTTCTTTTCACGATATCTTGGGCTTGGCTGAGAAATTTCCAAAGGAAGGAGTAGGACGATCGATGATTGGAGACGAGATCTCGCCCCTTGGTTGATTAATAATTAATTAATAATATGAGTTTTTAAAGGCCGAGTAGGAGTAGGACTTACACAACACAACCGAGAACCGTCCCGGTACTGGTACTGGGAAAATCGGACGGTCAGATCAATGTTGAGTCAATTATGGTTGTTGATGAGACTTAACCGGGTAGGGCTGCGAATCGGTGTGGTTGCGGTTGATTTCATCAAAATTTGCGGTTAATTGCAATCAAAACAGAGTCATATATTGATATATACCAATTGCAACAGCACCGTAAGCGGTTACCCGCGGTTAACCATGTTACTAACCGTTCTGATGGTTTGTGGACATTTTGGTATGTGGTTGTGCCACTATGTCATGGCTAACAGCAGGTAACCGCGTTAGTAATCGGTTAATTATGGTTACCTATTGTTCGGTTGCGGTTAACCTGGAAACCGCAAAACATGCAATATTGCTAACCGCGACCACAAAATAGCTTTTTTTGTTTGCGGTTAACCACTAGCCACACATTTTCGGTATGGTTAGTGGTTTAATTGCCAAACCACTATAGGTGTCAAAATAGAATCCAACCCGATCAACCTGACCCGCAACCCGAATTGACTAAAAGTGCTTGCTTAGACACATAAACCTACTCTCAACAGAATTTGTTAATTAATAATTTTCTTCCAGTTTTTGTTAGCTGATTAATATCTTGCAAGTTAGTGGATTATTAGGATTTAGGGGATTGTGTGTATTTTTTAATTATTTTTATCAGATTTTTTAATTTAATAGTTAAATTTAAGGTTAGTACCTAAGTTTGGCTCAAATTATACACAAATTTTATATTTTGGCCCATGATTTCCAAAATTGCTCTTTTGGCCCGAACTATGTACCATACTTTCTAACTTGGCTTGGAGCCTGATTTGACCGTCAAATTGGACGGTCAACTCCATTGACCGTTAGTCAATTGTCAGTTCACTTGTCACGTAAGTGAACACTAAATAAAAATTTTTATTTTTAAATTTTTGTATTCATTTTCCTTTCTAATAATAACAATAAAACAAAAAATAAATTCAAAACCCCAAATTTTCAAGATTCGGGAATCTCTAAATCAATCGCAAACCTCTTCGGCTCCTCCTCTGCTCTCCGGGGGTTCGACTCCATCTATCCTCTCCACCCCTCCGCCCACAAGCTTCATAACCCATCACCATTCCCCTCCCATTCATCCAATACTAATAATACCAACAGTAACGGTGATCTTCCAAACAATTCCTCCGTCATCGAGAATTTCCAATTGGGTTTGTCGGCGACGGCACCATCATCTGCACAAAACATGATGATGAACCAGATGTTGTCGCTGCTTCGCTCCCATGACCTCCACCACTCGCTTAAGCCCCAATCGGGCAGGGGGTTGATCGGCGTTGATAACAATCATTAGATAGGGACGATGGGCAGCGAGGATTGGGAAGATAGGGTTGCCTAGCCTGGCTCCACTGCTGCCGCTATTGATGACGTCTGCAATCGAGACCACGAGATAGGGACAGTAGCAGCAGCAACAACAACGTTGTTATGGGTAGTTAAGACGGGAGTAATAGGGGGAAAACCAAAACTACCACTATTTTAAAAAAATTATAAAAATACCACCCATTCCGAAAAAATTCCAAATCTACCACTATTTATTAAAAACCGCTCCACTCAGGGGCGGTTAAAACAGAAACCGCCCACCCAGGCGGCGGTTTACCATGGAACTGCCTGACAGACAAACGGTTTGTGTTTTTTTGGGAAAAACGCTCTTCGAAGGAGCGGTTTTCATGGCTGCTAGGGGTGGTAATCGGTAAACCGGTATTCGGTATTACTGGATATCATATCGGATACCGATGGTGTTATTTGGCATAACGGTATGCCGGATAATACCCGGTAATATACCGACGACAATCCGGTATACCGGAATACCGAATAGCATATATAAAAGTGTTGATTTTGGGATTTGATCTAGGCATTTGGTGTTGTTTGTTTAATTGGTGGGATATATAATTGGATGGTAATTGGGCAATTGGTTTTGGAAATGAAATTGGAGGGAGCAGAGAGAGGTTGTCGGCATGTAGAGAGAAGAACAAGGGAAGAAAGTTTTCTTTCTTACCTTACAACAATATATCCACGCCTAGTCTTTACATAAGTCTTTAATCAACAAAATATCTAGACCAATTATGCACCGCCCTTGAATTGTGCATATTATAAAATCACAAAGTTTAAATTCAGATCTCCTCTTGTCTTCTCTATATCTTCTTATAGCATCTTCATATCAACACTACAAGCAAGCAACGTGTGAGGAAGTTGTCATCTCACGTGTTCGGTATACCGGATACCATCGATATACCGAACACGTACAAATCAAACCATGTACAAATAAAAAGAATAAAAAATGACCAGACTTCGCATGCAATGAGAATGCATCATCACCATCTAAACTTCACAAGGTGTAGAGATAGAGCATACAAGCTCTACATATTCCATCTTTGGACATTTCTCTACATATTAAAAAGTATTGCAATTCGAAAGGTTTATTTTCAGCGAATTTAGAACTCACAATTCAATGACAGCAGTTTTGAAAGAAAACGATCTATCCGGTATACCGGTAAGCGACTATCCGGTATCCGGTATACCGGATAACTTTCGGTATCGGTATTCGGTGGCAGAATTTCAATTGTCGGTATACCGAATATCGGCTATTCGGTATCCGGTATACCGGATACCGACTGATTACCACCCCTAATGGATGCCCTAGCACAAACCGCGTCCTCTGAGAGTGGTTATGTGTCGACATGGTAAACCACTTCCACAAGGAAGTGGTTTACCATGTCGACACATAAACCGCTCCCCCCCCCCCCCCAACAGTTTGTGCTTCGTCACCCGATTAACGTTAATTCGTAAGTTTGTTGTGTATTACTTTTCATTATCATTTGTGATTTTTATGTTAGTAACTTAATTACAGTTTTATTGCAGATGGTATTCCAAAAGTTCACGCTTGGGTTGCGGTGGAATGGTTACACGGAAAAGACTGGAAAGGGTGTAAGACGTGGGTGGTAATTTTTATAAAATGAAGGTCCGTACGAGACCGATGCTTGAAGAGCTCCATCAAATGTGCATTGAGGTTACCTGCATGGATGGCACTAGAAAAGTTGATTGTATGGTGTATCTATATCCAAACATACATGGCGGGTCGTTGTGGAATGAGGAATTCCTCATTACCACTCAGGACGACGTTGATGCCATGGTCCAATTTTTGACTACCAATAAGATTAAACAAGCAGAGATGTTCGTTTACACTGAGGCGGTCGAAGGCGGTGTAGGTCATTCTAGAGATGGCCAAACATCTTGTATCCACGATGGGAGTGTATTATACGAAGATCATCCCCACCAGGAGTACCAAGACTAGAGCTGGAGGCAGAAGGATCATGATGGAACTGGAGGTCATCATCAATTCTTCTCATCATATGAAGAAGAAGCTCAACAGGCGGATGGGAACCAACAAACAGGCTACCAGTACCAACCCGAGTACAACTTCTACCAAAGCGGCGTTAGTTACCACAACTACCATTACGGAGCTGGTGAAGGTGAAGGTGTCTTTCATGATGATCATCAGATGGAAGAAGAGGTCAATCCAAGTCCAGTTAGTGACCCTGAGGTTGAAGAAGAAGAAGGCGATGTCAGTGCAGACAACTTCGATTCTCTTGAAGGTGCTGATGATTCCGGTCCAGATTCATACGCAGACTGTGATGAGGTACCTCGCGACCGTGTACCTATCCCGTACTACAATCACATTCCAAATGAAGATTGGTATTTTGATGCCGAAATGGACCCGCCAGAGGTTCCAGTATGGGGTCCACTCACTGGCTTTACGAAGGGCCAACAATTTGCTACGAAGAATGAGGTCCGACACGCTATTGCCACTGAAGCAATGACTCGGAGTTTTGAATGGCACACAACCCATTCCGACACGAAGAGGTTGATGGTTAGATGCAAAAATCAAAATGAGGGATGTAAGGCTAGGGTTCGGGCCATCAAGAGCAAGAGAGTCGGCCATTGGGTCATATCCTGTGCGGTGAACACACACACATGTGTGTCGTCAATAACATCCCAAGGCCATCGACAGTTGAAATCAAGGGTGGTTGTCGCGTCTATCAAACATCTAATTGAGGAGCAGCCCGACCTGAAGGTTAAAACCATCATCGCCGACATTTCTAGTCGTTATGGTTATATCTTTCACTACAAGAAGGTGTGGCATGGAAAACAGAAAGCAATGGCCGCCGTGTTTGGTGACTCGGAATCATATGCATTCCTTCCCAGATTGATTTTGGATATGGAGGTGTCTAACCCTGGCACCATTTTCTCTCCCCGCTACCAAGATGAAGAAATCCAGCCGCCAGTGCCTGGTAACAAGCGCCATTTCAAGCATCTTTTCTGGTCATTCAAGCCATGTATTGATGGTTTTCCATTTTGTATTCCTGTGATTCAAGTTGATGGAACATTCCTTACCGGCAAGTACAAAGGTACTCTACTGATCGCCAGCGGAGCAGATGCAAATAGAGCAGTATATCCATTAGCTTTTGCCATTGTTGAGGGAGAGAATACCGATAGCTATGGATGGTTCTTCAGACAAATTCAACTCCATGTAACCAGGTGGACGAACCTAACCATCATCTCTAATCGCCACGCTGGTATAAGGGCTGCCATTTTAGGCTTGGATCCAGCCTGGAAGTGGTCACGGAGATGGTGTATACGGCATTTCAAGAGCAACTGGAACCATCATTTCAAGCGAAAGAAGCTTGCTGATAGTCTATGGTGGATCGGTAAGAGTTCTATTTCATTGGTCTATATCTTTTGTTAACTGGAAAACGAGGACTAAATCAATACAATACAACACTTATTTAGACTCTTTATAAAGTAATGCATGCCTAAGGAAATGAGGTTTTAAGATATCATAATAATCCTCCCATTTCCTGAGAAAATCGGGTTCTAAGCGATCCTCGGATCCCCCCTTTTCTGTCAAACAGGCTGTTTTTCTAAGAAGATGTATACCTCTACTAAAAGTCTTACGAGTGTACTTTTATTGCTCAAAACGGAAGCCTTGCTTACCTTACGCTTTTGTTCGTAAATTCATCAGTTGTCGCTTGCCATGAGAAGAAATTTAAAGAGAAGATGCAGAATATCCATCAGCTATCCTATGTCTTGAAGGTGCGAAACGGTTAGCAATCCACAACGCAGATCGCTCCTCTGACAGGCAGTTAGCCGTCAGATCGCCTGCCCATCGTGTGGTTGCATGGACCGCCATGTGGAGGCGCGGTTTATGGGGGATGGTGGTAGATTTGGAATTTCTTCGGAACGAGTGGTATTTTTGTAATTTTTTTAAAGCAGTGGTAGTTTTGGATTTTTTCCGAGTAATAGTCAGCAGTAGTAGAAAGCGAGCTTCACGGTGACGGGATCGGCGACGGAGTTTATTCTACATCAATCGAATGTTTAATGAAATCTTCTTGTAGAATCTAGAAGCGAAGGTATTGCAATAGATTCCTGGATTTTGAAAAATTGGGGGTTTGATTTATTTTATTATTATAAAGGAAAATGAATACAGAAATTAAAAAAAATTATTCCGTGTTAGCTGACGTGGCAAGTGAGTTGACCATTAAGTAAGGGTCAATGGAGTTAACCGTCCAATTTGATGGTCAAGCCCTGCTCCTGTCCAAGTTAGGAAGTATGGTACATAGTTCGGGCCAGAAGAGCAATTTCGGATACTACAGGTCAAAATAGAAAGTTTGTGTATATTTCGGGCCAAACTAAGATATTAACTCTTAAATTTGCTAAATTATCATTCATATAAACACTTACACTCTGTTTCCGAAGGAAGGGAGGAAAAGGAGGGGAGGTGAAGGAAAATTAGGAAGGGAAGAGAGATTTGGAGGTGAAAGAAATTAGAAGGAAAATGTTGTTTTATGGAGAAAAGTGAGAAGGAAAATATGTGTTGGGAAGTGTGATGAATATTTTATTTTATTGGTTATGTAATAGTAAAATAATTTTATTATTTGTTGATATTATATTTTTACTTATGAATATATTATGTAATAGTAAAATGCAGGTTTTAAAGCAATGCTACATTTCATTATTGTATTACATCTATTAAAAATGAGTGAAGTTAGTAATTAAATTGGTCAATAATGTCTATCATAATAGGTGAACTTAATTATTAAACTAATTAATTTTATTTTGGAAAAAAATCAATATAGAAATAAAGTGACGTGAAAGAGTGGTGTAATTGATTATTAAGTTAATTAATTATTAAAATAATTAAATAAGCATGGAAGTAAAAAAAGGGGTAAACTCACTTTCCTCCTCCTTTCCCTCCAATTCGGAGAGTTGAGTTCTACAGTGAAAGGGAAGGAAAGTTTTCTATTCTTTTCTTTTCCCTCCTCCTTAAAAAACAGGGTGATACATCTCGAGAATTGGGCTTTCCTTCCATATTTTCCATTCCTTCTATTTTCTTTCGTTGGGAAACAGAGTGTTAGAAAGCTGAAGATTCGGGTTAATTGCATGGGTGGTCACTGAGATTACAAAAAACGTTCAAGTTTGGTCACTCGAAATATTTAAATCCATTGGTGGTACTTCAGTTTACTGAAACCATTCACGTTTGGTCACTCTCCATACAACTCCATTAACTTTTGCTTACGTGGCGGTCAACTCTAAAAGTTGACCGTTAAATGTGTAATGTGGCAATTTTAAAATAATAAGATTAAATTTTTTAAAATTGCCATCTCATTTCCACCTCATTATTACTTTTATTTAAAATAAATGGAAAAACCCTAATTTCTTCTACTCTGCAATACCAATACCCCGTCGTTGCTGCCGCTTCCATCATTGTAGTCGTCGCGCCAAAGGCGAATTCTCCTC